AGATTTCCTAGGCTTTTAAGTAAATTATTGAAACGTTTCTACTTGCGCTATTACACGATGCTTAAACGTCTCGCAGACGCGAAGTGACAATACAGAGACTTCGGTTTATTTGCTAGAACCGTTCTCAAGCATTGCTTAGCGTCGATCGAACATCGTAAACGTTGGGATATGTTGAAAAAGAAGGCTTCTCGTAAATGTTTTATGTTTATATTAATCATCATATAATCTTAATACATAGACATTGTACCATACAATACAATACATTATCTTAGCGTTATTTTTTAGTACAATCGTGGAATGTTTTGTACAAGAAAGGAATATTCTATATGAAATATAGATAAAATTACATATACAATAGCTACGTTCGTACAAAACTACATCGATCACATCGTAGATATCTAAATTACTAATTCGTTAGAAGCGATTCCCAACGAATAAATAAATAAATAAATAAATAAACAAACAAATAAATAAATAAATAAGGTAAACGTATAAGAATAAATATTGCATCTATCACATTGTTTTGACAACAGAACGGAGGCATTCTATTATATAAGCATTTCGATCTAATAGTATAATATATAATATTGAGCATTGAATTGAGCAAATTGAAATTTCCCGTGTCTGGACGTCCCCGAGTGTACGTCAAACAAGTTCCCTCGTGTAATCATAGAATTAACATTGTAATTGATCCTCGACCGCGTTACACGATCGATGATGCGAACAATCTTAGTACCTGCGTAAGTTGCATTCTCGCTCAAACTTCGTCGTAATTACGAGTTTATTGAAACTGAAAATTGCCGCTCGGGAATCGAGAACGCGATTTTGAACCACACCCGAGACCGTCCAGTCGTTTCCTCGACTCTGATCTACGAAAGAGTTCAAAATTGGACTCTTAACCCCTCGACGATGGCCATAATACCGCTAATATAATTAAAGCTCGATAAAAATTCCATAGAAACAGTTACGAATGAAAACTAAATGTTTCGATCCGTCAGATTTATCACAAGGATCGTTTAGTGCCACCATTCGACGAGAAGTTTCGAATCACGGACCAAGTTATGTTTTACGTATAAGAAGTCGGTGAAAAATCGAACACAGCGGTTATAAGTTACGCACGAAGAATAAAAATTACCCTGTACTCCTAAAATCACGTTTCCACGCGTATTAAAACCAACCTTCCACTGACTTTTTCCGACTGCGACATAATCCTGCTATTTCCCCGAGCCGCGTGTTTTCTTTAGATTAGGAACGCGATTCCTTCGAACGATGACAAGTATAACGTCACGAGGTATATAAATTTAAATTTGATTTCGGGGAACAACAGGGTTAATGTGGGCTCAACGTTCTAAACAATTACCAGAAATCGTTGATATCTGTTTAGAACGTTTCGCGCAAACGCGTCAATTCGTCCGTTACTGGTTTAAATTCTGTGGATCCACGTGCCCCAATTCTGGATCCACGTACAGCCCGCAGACACATCCGGTGTAGATCTTGATCATGTTGTCGGACCCGCAATCGTCGCATTCGAGCTTGACCATTCTGTACGTTTGGATGCAAGAATGCCAGTCCGCGTGACACCAGCTGTTAACGTGATTACACCTTATGTGGTTCAAGTGTTTCAGTATCGCGACGCCATTTTCATCGGTGATCGGCTCGACGGTGTAGTTGCAAATCGAGGCATTCTGCGCCAGCTTCTCCTCCAGCTCCAGCTTGGCATTTTCATCCACCGGTTCCCGCAACATGTCCATCCTCATGCCGTTGGCCTTCTTGTCGTTTTCACGTTGCTTCGTCGCAGTCGTGGAATCTTTGATAACGTTCCTGTCGATCCTGTTCTTCAGATGGTGTCGCCGCGGTCTCGAAACCCTGGCAAGATCCTCGATGTTGGCGAGCGTCTCGTCGGTCTGCCGCGGCTGGTCCAGCGATTCCCAGTAACGATTCGACTCGGCCGAATGACGCAGGGACAGTACTCGAGGCACCGATTCCTCCAGATCGTACTCGTTCCAGCGACGATGGTGAAGCTGGTGGGTCCTCGACAGCCTCCTGGCATCCGCGGGTTCAGTCAACAGCCCCGAGAAGAGGATCACCGCCACGATACACAGCGACATCGTAATTTCACGGAGCACCTGAAGCTTCTCCAGCATTCGCCTCCTCTTTTCTTTGTTCTTCCCTTCCCTCTCGTTCGGCCTCTTGTTTAACAAAGTTGCCCGATACAAAGGGACAATAATTGCTCGGAGCTCCGTTCGACACTGGCGGGTCTCCTCTTTCCACTTCGACGTGAATAGACCCGGGGTCCTTCTTCTTGCGATCTTAAAATACCTTAAGACCCTGAATGGCTCAATTGGTTCTCGCCTACGTATACAATTGAAATCGAAACACTGAGGCTATCCCCGACGACGCCAAACGGACTCGGCAATTACGGCAACGAACAGTCACGATTCGTTGCTTTGACGAGAAGATTTCGTCGAGATGTCTTTCTTAGACGTCTCCTTCCGGCTAACTACGCCCGAACGTGGCCCAGTGATTTTATTGCGAGACGATACCACCGACAACGACCAAACCACTCGGGCCGGTCGGATGTTGGCAAATTGGTTAATTTCTTCGACGATGGAGAAACGGGTCTCGCCGTCAAGGATCGACGGAGGTATCCTAGACTGCCGATGTCTCGTCAACTGTTGCCTCGTCGAGTGGATGCTCGCGAGTTGCTTGTTACGGTTGAATGGTTTACTGAAAACTGAATGTCCCGGTGGGTGCCCAAACGATTTTTTATCCTTTGCCGCGACTGCAACGTGGGTGGCTGCCCCACTTGAACGGGTGTCCGCGCGTGGCTGATCCCCCCTCGTCCAGGGCCCCGGATTCCCATCGAGGATGCTTCCTTCGCTCGAACGAGCGTCCTCTCGTGCCGCCTGACGTCACCGGGCCCCGTTTCTTCCTGTGAAGAGACGCACACGTTCCCTTAAATGTTGTAATTTAATGCCGATTAACCGCGCAAAGACGTCACGGCGAGCGTCGTCGACTAGTAACCGCGGAGGAAGAAAAAGTGTCCGGAGTCTCGCGCGCCAGAGAGTTCGTGGAATATGGAAGAAGGGAGAAAGACACGCGAACAACACCTCGCAACCGATCGTGACACCGTGTCGCGGGGGGACGGCCTGCCGTGATGGATACACGCGAACAAGCTCCTTTCCCCGCTGACATTTACGCACAACGCGTTTCAACAACACACACAGAGAGATTCCAGCCGCGTCGCGTGTCCCGCGGATAAACGACGAATCGAATCCTGGCGTTATTCGCGCGTACCCCGACGCGCCTCGCGTAAAGAGGAGCATTTTTCTCGACCCCGTTATTCTTGGTCCAACTGTACTTTCGCGGGGGGTTTCTTCAATGGCGCGCTACTCTCATCAATCTTACGCGCGACCGTCCTTCGTTTTGTTCTCGTCCCGAGCACGCGTCGATGAGTCAAGAACTCCGAGTACTCCCGGTACTCGAAGGTCGACCAACCAGGGAAATTCAAGGCGGGAAAGAACGCCGGACTTTTAATAAGGTTTCGCTCCTGACCAACGTTAAGGTAAGAGACCCGAATCCTCGCACGCTACGCAACAACTTCGTTATCCCTGATATTCGTCGTCCCGTACGAGGAAAGATGCCGTTTAAAAATACACGTTCCGAGAATCAGGTAAACTTCGTCGTCCCTTCTTTTCTATCTTCGTACGCGATAGAAAGTTCTGACCAAATTGTTTTATGATACGATATTTAAATCGCACGATGTTATTCAAATCGTCGTGATTAGCGGCCTCCTCATTTGCATGGTGACATTTCTTGTTGATCGGTGGAAATGTCTGTACTCGCGTCTACGGTTTATAAGACGATGCTATTTTTAAATACAGGTAATCGAAAACAGAAGTGTCGAACGAAACACGTGGAATTATATCGTTTAATTCCACGCGTTTCGATTGTCCTTTGAAATTAATTCCACGCGTTTGGATTGTCCTTTGAAATTGATTCCACGTGTTTCAAGTAAACACTTGGAATTAATTCCACGTGTTTCAAGGAAACAAACATTATTAATAGTCATCTACCCGTGCAGTGGTAAACATGATTGTAATACAGTGATGTTTAGTAAAAACAAAAAACAACGAAACGTAGTAAATAATAAAAATCATCGGAAATAAGAAATTGTTATCGTACCATGCTAGGTATCAAAATTAAAGGATTGTCGATCTTCGAGGTTCGTGCAAAAAAAATCGTACAGAGGCGTACCTTTGCTCGTTTTAAAAGGCAATGCCTCCGCTTTTTAGACTCGTTGCTTGCGAAAAATATAATCGCTATCATACTTTTCCATCTTCGTTCGGGATCCGAGACCGAAGACCACACTGATGCCGGATCAGTGATGACGCTTAAATCAACGCAATCAAACGCATAAAATACTGATTAAATCTGCTAATTTGCATCGGAATATTTTCGTTCCAGTACAAATTCGTTAAGTTGCACGAAATACATATACAAGACGATAGTTAAAAAACCTTTACAGAAAGCGGCCATGAATTTTGATGGCGTTTATTCTCTGTTTTCAAGGAAGATAACGATTCGGACGTCACTGGGATTTATTCGAAATTCTCAACAAAAAACGAACTTTTGATCAATCGTAACCAAAAACACCACGTCTGAATACAATTTACGGTTATTTGCGGAATCGCTTTCGAAACGATTCTCCTTTTTCTTTATTTTTGTGCGTCACGTGTGAAAATAGTCGCTTTTGATGAAGATGCGAATTTCAAATGTCGGCTATCGTTCGTGGGAAACGAATTTCTGTTAAACGAGATAGGAACGATCCCGGGTCGTTTCTAAACAAAATCACGCCGGACCCTTCGATCTTTTCGGGATGATAGCAGACGGGATAACCATTTCCATTCAAACGGAACATTTGGAAATGAAATAAATTACAAGTTCAAGCTTTCCTAAAACGTGTTTATTAAAAATTTGAGAAGCGAATGTGACAGATTTATAAAGAAGAAACCGGGTAACGAAGCGTAACAAATAAAGACGCGCGAACGTTACCACGTAATAACAACTACACGAGCGAAGGACGCAATCGTGCGTCGTTCGCGACAACAATTTTTATTAGCTTTCGTCGAGAAACAAGTCGGGCGATAGGCTGCTCCTGGTCGGAAAGCTCGAGTGTGTGCCGAGTTTCAAAACGGATTCCGTAGCAACCACGCAGCCTCTTCGGATGCATTCCGCCATTGGAAGACCTGGATGATACACTTTAAAGTACGCGAGAGCGCCCAAAAATGCGTCCCCAGCTCCCTGTGCATATGCAATCCACTATTAGCAATCGATGACCTATCGTTTCTCGAGTCATAAATTTGTTAGTAATTAATTTAAATGCTCCTCGCAAGCAACTTGAAAAAGAAACTAGTAAACTTAGAGGTAAAAATAGTGATTAATCGTGTATCGCTGAAGTAAGACTCCTTGCATGGAAAAGCTTCGGGATAAGACGGAACGAACAAACATATTTGAGTATTTAATTTAGCAAACGTGTGAGATTATTTGGTTCGAGACAGATCGACAACATTTTTCTAGTTCATTTCTGAGCCACGTACTGCGTCATCGGCTGAAAGAGTAAGATATTCCGCTCATATGAGTCATCGGTCTCGAATGCGTTAAGTGCAAGAGGAAATGAGCAGCGGTGGATCACCCCGTCGCATGCTTCGAACCTTAGTTACGAATTTTTATAAATAACTAATTATTTTTTTGGAACATAACTTGAGGAACAATTCGTTCAACTATTTACCCAAAAGATACATTCCTCGACAATTGTTTTACAATTACGAAACAACGAAAGTTCATAAAAATTCGTCTGAAATTCTTTTACGGATAGAACAACGTGAACGTACTGTTGTATCCACGGCCTCAACATGTTTGGTAGGAACAAACGTGAGAGTTCTATTTTCCTGAGACGCGAACGCCGCTCCCAATTCTCCCAGAGTTAAGATCACCGTATTGCAACCCATGTCCAAGAGCTTCTCCACGGCCTCTTGCACGTTTGACAATTCCTGACACTGCACCCCGGTCATAACTTCGGCCTGTAAACGTGCGTTAAACACATCCATTTAACCGATTCGGCGCTAAAATTTGTATGCTTGGCGCGCGCCATCCGCGGGAATCTCAAAATGATATTTAACGAGCATGTTTGCCAAACACCCGTGGATGCAACGATTGACTGGCCGCTCATAAACACGTAAGCGGCGTAAAAAGTGTAAAATGATTAATACGTGGTAGTCAAACATTTTGGCGTTTACAGAAAGTTCGTTTGACGGCGAGACGCAATGATACTGTTCGGGAATCGGCATACCTCGTTCTGGTTGACGCAGAATATATCGCACAGGGACAGTATTTCGGAGTCAACATTCTCAATGGCAGGCGCCCCATTCACGATCGACAGACCTATCGCATTACATTTCATATACACAGCTTTATCGTTATCGAATGAAAGAACTAGACGTTACCAGACGCAACTAACCGTGGCCTTTGTGTAGATTTAAAGCGTGCAGAGTACTTTCTAGAGGCGTCTCGAATTGACACAATAAAACGTCAGCACCTTTAACAACCTCTGCTGCGGTATCCACGTGTTCGGGACACAACGACGCGTTTGATCCTAACACGACTACTATGTTATTCTCGCCTAAAAATGGATATCGTGCAGAGGATTTTTTTAAACTCTATTTTATGCGTAACTTGACAAAACTAACAACGTTAAGTTGTCAAGGTAATAAGATCCAGATAGTATTCTTTGAAACTGAACAAATTACGAAATAGTGTTCATAGTTTCTGAATAAATGTCATTACCTACCATTATCAGCGACCGTAATGTGTGCTATTCCACTGTGTTGGTCTTCTTGTATTTGAATGTGAGAAATGTCTATGTTTTCCTTCTTAAATATTTTTAAATACTCTTGCGCGTAAATATCAGAACCTAACTGTATTAAAAAACTATTAAAATGGTCTAGCAGACAATTTAAAAAAAAAAATGAAAATGATTATGCGTGTAAGTTATATAAGAGAATAAATAATACTAGAAAACCGTACTGAAGCAACCATTGCTGTAGAGGCACCAAGCTTGGCAGCGACCATACATTGGTTTGCACCTTTGCCACCATACTTTATTTCATATTTACTACCAATTATGGTCTCACCAGGTTTTGGTAAACGAGGAGAAAAGCTAAAACATAAATATATCTTAATCACGGCGAAAGAAACTGTTTCCATTTGAATATGTGTAACTTGTATTTTATGTTCTCCTTATACTACATGCATATTTTTCTGGTATTTTATATAAGAAATGATATTAAATAATTTTATGTTAGTCTATTGTTTCTTTCATTTGCTAACTATTGTTAATTAGCAAATTATTAGGAGAGAGAAAGAATTAAACATAAAATAGTATTTTACCTTTGTCTCATAAAATATTCAAGGTAAATATCTTACCTAACAACTAAAAGCAAAACATGTATTGCCTAACAATTATTATTAGATAAAAGTAAACTGATTAGATACATTTTTTCACAAATTTTAAAACAAACATTTCTCCTACTTAGTGTATATACTATTTTCACTCACCAAGTAAAATCAATCATACACGAACCAACAATAACGATTTTCGCAGGCATTTTTTAATGTTAAATATAAGCACTATCCAGATTTTGAAAACTCTCGAATGGTTGTGCAACTAATAAATGTTACAATGAAACTATTTACCGTAACGGAAAAATTGAGAAGACCGAGTGAAATGATTATAACGTATCTGTTCTTATCGAAATTATCACATGGTACAATAAAACCAACAACTGATAAATAATTTGTTTACTACGAATCTAACCTAACTAAAATTTATATTTGACTATGAATATATTTTAGCCTTGAGTAATAATGAAATAGTTTCAGAATAGCACAGAAAAAAAAACAGTAATGTACAGTATTAATGTTAAAAAACACCTTTTACTTTCAATCACTTTATTTTCAAGTTACACATTATATTGCACCATAAAACAGTTGTGTTATCATAACGTAGTACGTGTATCGTAAAAAACATAATTAACTTTTGTACTTTAAAACCTGCAATCGTATATTCAATCGTACAAAATATAAAAAAAAGTTATAAGTAAAAAAGAAGCAACTTATAATCGGCATATAACCACAAATCAAATACAGACTAGGCGTTTTACTTTACGGGAGCGGCGTTACGCGAACTGAAATACCGACTTCATAAAATATGGTTTTGGGTGGTTTTGGTACGTCCTCTTCTCTTAAAAACGGTCACTTTAGGAACTATATTCGACTGATCCACCGAAATCGGTAAAATTAATAAACACAGAACACTCGTCTCCTTAAGGCTAATTCACACTATGCGGATTACTAACATTTCTTTTATCAATACTACCACAGACGGGATACAAATAAAATGTATTCAAACTTTTAAAGAAAAATCGACGGGAGATAGGTGCAGAAATTTTTCGGGGAAATGAAAAAATTTCAAATCATTTCGAAAAAATTATTTTTGGTTGCGAAGGTTAATTACAATCAATTTTGGTGAATAGACGTACTCCCGAAATCCTACGCACTTTCGAGAAAAAAATTCGTGTAGGTGCTGATAGTTTTCGAAGAAATTAAAAAATTTCAAATCATTCTAAAAAAATTATTTTTAGTTGCTGAGGTCAATTACAATTATTTTTGGTGATTACACATACCCTGGAAATCCTACACACTTTTGAGAAAAAAATTCCTTTCCGAAAATATAATGTATGGCCAGAAATGTTTCCCCGAAATTTCGTGCCTACATTTAAAACATCGTAGCTCCTGAACGGATCGGAGGATTTTAATGTACCAAAATGCAAACAATGCGTATTTTTGTGAAGAATAGTTAGAAATTCTAAGGATGTTGGAGAAATAGTTTCTTAACCCCGTAAAGTAAGAAAAACCCCATTAGAATGGTCCAATTTTTAAACGACCATAATTCCTATAATAGTGAATGTATTTCATTTTTCCTACCTCTTGGAATTTCCTTGGTCTTCATTGTCGGCATCTGGTATTCCTCATGAATAAAATAAATATATCTTCGGTCGTATAAAAATATAATTTTATCAAATGTAGTACAATTATTTAGTAAAACATAAATCTAATAATACTAAATAATATCGCAATAGGAGTAATAGATTATTATTATTATTACTTAATGATATAAGCACCAAATGTTATGCATTCTAGGCAAGTGAATTAGTATTGGGTAGCAGAACTTTAACAGTTAGTGAGGTATTAAGGGCTGGTTTCGTTGCACGAGTTCCTTGGCCTGATCGATTTCAAGTTGAATTATTATCCACTTTAAAAGCTATGAGTGAACCATCTTTACAGGTATATGTTCCATACTATAATTTCTTAAATGGAAGACAGTAAGCTTTGTAAGCAGGACCAGAATAAAGCAATTCTTGGACATTCTCCATACTTCTATTTTTATAAATGCACAAATGATTTTCTGGACAAGTGCATCTGTGTTATGGGTATTGCACATTCTTTTCTATATTAAAAAATAAAAATAGTAAAATCCATTAGAATATATATATGAAATTAGAATTAAAATACTTGTATGATTATTAATATTAGAGGTATACCTTGATACACTTGAATGAGTCTCCAATAATGTGATTGTGGACAGGTACAACTTGACGTTAGGTTACATGGTATTTAATAAGAATTATTCTTATTGCTTTTACTGTACACTTTAACAGCTCCATGTTTGTAAGTACACAAATTCATCTCTGTTCTTGGAATACAAAACTGGAAAAAGCAAAGTTTTACTTTACAAGTTTTAGAACACACTTTGTATTTTTGCATACCTCTATATACATATATGATTTATGTTTCGTCAATTGCCATGGACATTCTTTTCCATTAGAACAACGACACAGTCTTTCGGTTAAACTAGATACCCACAATCGATTGTGAATTACATTACATGCTTTGTTAATTTCTCATTCGTGTAAATCACTTTCTCCATACCTAACCCAAACTTAATTCTACAATTACCTCCCTGCCAGGGCTAGAAATAGTTTATTAAAAAACAGAAACAAAAGAGATAAAAGAAAATAAAAAAACATTTTAACATTGTCACACAGTCAAATTAGAGAGAAACTAAATTTTAAATAAGAAGAAAGAACAATTCGAAAATAAATGTGGAAGAATCGTTAAGAAACCCCATTAGAAAATAATATTTGCACTTATTTCCACCTTAAATTATTAATGTTTTCATAAGAAGACCGATTGTAAATGTCGTATTTATGAAAGTCGTCAGGCATGTTTTTTTTAGGAATGTCAAAAGCTCTTCTGATATTGGACAGATACGTTTCCCATGGGTTAGTTTGTGACAAAACGGCTTTGTATCTCTCGCCTAACTCCAACGTTAAAATGAGATCGTCAAGGATATCCGCGCAGTACCCATAGGTCAAATTGACATAAAGGCCGTTTTCGGGAAAACGTGTGTATTTACCAACGATCTTCTTGCAAGGCATATCACGAAGTGTTTGTGCAGTGTTATATTGATATTGCTCGTTAGAAAATTGAATACGGCGTGCGAGAGACAAATGCGTGAAAAAAACTGGAAGAGTAGCGTACTCTTCGATTTCTAAAAGGCAATGAAAATTATTCCAATTATAATAATACATGTCAGTATTAAGTCGGAACGAAACTTTAAAACGAATGCTAGCCGGAAGAATGCGGCCCGGAACAGGAACTGGATCGGAATCGGAAGTCACGCCGAGTGCAACATGACCGTTTTCCCCACTCTCGCAACTAGAGTGAGAGGGAAGACCACAGTCCCTGCATGCTGCTACAGAATAGCACCATCTAACATTTTAACTATGCAACATTAGCAACTTGGCGAAGCAGAAGAAAAGGAAAATGCATTTGGCCGTACTGTATTCCTCATTGAATGGAAATGAATATAATATCTTCGATTGTATTTAAATATAATTTTATCAACTATAGTACAATTATTTATTAAAACGATAATCTAAACGAGAAAGTAATATTTGTAAAACGTTTCTTTCTTCGTTTTATGTGATTAGTTATCAAATTTTAGTGGTAATGTTATCCACATAAAAAGACCAATGACAATGCTGCTTAATTAATTACACTTACTGATCGTAGTTGTCAATAGTTGGATTTTCCTTTCATAGCATAGAATGTATGACGCGATTTAAATTTATATGGAAATTTCATATTTTACATGATATATTTACATACTTATTTACTGAAACTCTGAAGAAAAGTATATACAAGTATGCTTGTTACATTGATGACAGTAGTGCATACGTCTGATTTCAGTCTTGTAAACATTGTGTTGTGATTTAAGGAAATAATTGTTTTACCGTGTGAATTACATTAATTTGTATGATTTACCAAAAGTATTTGATTAATGGAGATTTTCTGTAATAAAAGAATTTTTCTAAAGCTTGAATAATATGTGATTATCACTTAAATCTACACAGTATGGACACAGCAGTCCTGGTTGGTAAGTTTCACATTCTACCATTGAAATCATTTTGTGTATTTAACAAAATTATTATTAAATGGTGGAAAAACATAAAATAAATGATTCGGATCGACAAGTTCCAAACAAAAATATATTTGGATAAGCAGATAAAAGTAATTGCTTTCAAATTATTGTACTACGTATCATTTATCGTGGTTTTTTAAGTCGTCGAAACATTAATTCGTTGAAGCATACTGTTATAATTTTGCATTAAAGCTTCATCTCTGTAACGTATTAAAACTATTTTTTTTACGTGAAATCTGTGATTTAATTTTACTTTGTAAAGAAACAAGAAAAGTAAGAATCTCATTTTATGTAATTTATGAATCTTTGTTAGGTTATGGTACATATAAAAAATTGTTTATTTTATCTCTTGTTGAATTTTTGATGACTAGCAAATACACTTTAATAATTATTTATTATTAGGTAACCATCGTTTATAATCTTGTTAACATTAGTGACAATAATCATTATTTTTCATTAACAGGACAGTTTATGGATTCTTAAATAATTGTAATGAATTTGATGCTTTACAATGGAACAAGTAGATGAAGCACAGATTGTTTCTATTCAAATACAACCAACATTAACAGTAGATTTATCCTCTTTGTCAGAGATAGAACCAAATAATGACCATGTAACAAATGTGGTAAACATTTCTGACTCTCAGGGAAGTAGTAGAAATGATTGTACAGACAATGCAGTTAAAACTGTTTTGTCAGTAAATGAATGTGATACAAATAATTCAACCGAGAAAATTGAAGTTGAGAATCCAAAAGTAGAGAAGGTTACTGTTGATTTAATTAGTGGGTTGGTTCAAGAGACAGTTGATAATAATATGCAAGAAGCAAGTAACAATGACATAGAAGAGGTCATTAACAATAATACACAGGAAACAATTAGTAGCAATGCAGAAGAGAGAGTTAATAACAATACACAAGACACAATTAATAATGACACGAAAGAGACATTTAATAATGATACACAAATGACTACTATTAATCGTACCCAAACTGATGCTGATCAAGGTATAAAGAATGATGTGGTAAAAGATGCAAACAATACAGTAGAATTAATTGAAATTAAAGATGACATAATATGCCTAGAAGAGGTATCTTCGAATGAAGGATGTACAAAGCTTTCAAATAATGTTGCAATGCTGAGCACAGATAGTGGTAAAGATGAGCAATCTTTTGAAAAAGATATTTGTACAGTAAAAGACACAGACACATCCAATGATACTAATGCTCAGTGTCAAGCGTTAATTCAATCGCTTAGCCAGACTTTTGACAGTAAGGATCAATCCTTGCACGTTGCAGATACAGACACAGATTTAAATAAATTGGTTGATGGTGATTCAGAAGTTATGGTAGTAACAGTAGAAACTGTACCTATTAATGATTCAAATGAAACCACAGAACAAAATATTATTGTGACTGTACATGAAAAGGATATTGTGGTAAATTCCAATGAAAATGAGTTTCCAATGAAAGGGAAGGCAACTGAAAAAACTGAAATTGAAAATGAAAAATATAACTTGATAGATTACAGCCAAGGAAGCGATGGAACTATAATAGAAGTAATTTCAACAGAAGTTGTTGATTCAGATGTTTCTAAAATGTGTACTCGACGAAACAACAATGAAATCTTCAAACACGCCACTTCTAAAATAGATTCTGTAACTTCAACCACTACAGAAGTTACTGATAACATAACAGTCAATGAAGACAAAATGCAAACGAAATATAATGTTAACGAGGAAAATAATATAAAACAGGTAAAGACTGAAACTTGTGATAGTTCAGATAAGAATAACATGAAAAAACAGCTTGTTCATAGTAAAATTATCCCCTCTTCTAAGCATATAAACGTTCAGAGAGAAGGAAATGTATCTGTAAATGAAGTGAATAAAGTGAGCGCAACAGTTAATAAAAGAAGCGTACTCCAAGATATTTTTGATGATTGGGGTGATGAAAATGCAGAGGATGAAAGTCAGTCTGTATCCAAAGTACAAGACACAGTGGAAATTGAATTAAAATGCTTATTAGATGATATAAAGACAACTGAAATGGTAGAAGAAGACACACCAGTATTGATTAAAGAAGATGTGTTAGATGTAAAAGAAGAGGTTATAACAAATACTGAAGAAGTTGCCAATGTAAATAAAGAAATGCAAATATCAAAAGAACAGACAGATAATAATCAAAGTACAGAAAAGCAAGAAATTTCTATCACGACATTGACTAAAGACCAAATAAATTTGTTAGTATCGCACAATTTTGAGAAATTAGTTAACAGTACAGCGCACGAAGGAAACGTATTAAATCAAACATCGTCACAGGCAAACGTATTAAATCAAACGTCATCGCAGGCAAACATATTAAGTCAAATATCGCCGCAGGCAAAACTGCCGCCTATTGTCATTCGTGGTCGTAATTTGACTGGCCAAATAGCATCGCCAGATGAAGTGAAAGAAGCATTAAAGGAACGACTTCGTGAGAAACAAAAAATTGTAGAAGCGCCGCCTGGACCTGATATATTTTTTGTTAAAAAACTAACTCAAAGATTATCGAATAAATTAGCGGGTGGCCCAATAACTTCTTTACCAGCACTTATACCATTGCCTCAGCCTACAACTCAATCTTTCGCTCAGTCTGATAAAAAATCAACTGACAATGTAAATACAGAAACGAATAAAGAAAGTAGCTCTGACAATAAAGAATTATTAGCAATATTAGAAGGTGATGTTGATCCTGATTGGTCAAATTTAAAACCACCGACTTTAACGGAGGAAAGTAAGGATCCGCTAAGCATTGACGAACATAGTACACCGCCAAAACTCGATCCTTTAATTGAACGAGAATTGGCGTTAAAACAACTTCTGGAGTTACCTGTTTCATCGGTTAAAAAAAATGTTGTAAGGAAGAAGAAAACATTTAAACCTGCACCAGGTAAAGCTTCTAAAGACGTAGAGACAACATCTGCGTCCGAAGTAGAAAAGAAAATTGTTAATATCGACTTAATAGACGATTCTACAGAGTCGACTGTAAAAGATACAAGACCTTCCAACTATGAACCGTTCTCCGTGGTTATTGAGCAGCACACTCCAGAAAAGAATACAGAATTAAATACAAAAGATGTACGATTGGATGAATCAAGATCAGGTAGAAAACGAAAGCTTACAGAAAAAGCTAGGGAACACGAACAACTGCAGAGTATCGTAAAACGTCAGAAAGTGTACAAAAGTAAAGTTCCATTAAATAAGAAACAGAATCCAACAGATGGGGTGCAAACTATGTCCGACACTAGCCAAACCATTGAGAATCATGTGTTTAAAGAGAATACTTCGCCTGCTAGTACTACAATTAGCGAGGCTGATGCTACAATAAAAAAAGAAGAAACAGACAAACAGCCCACGGATGAAACAGACATAACATTGGATGAAAAACCTGAGAATACATCTTTAAAACGGTCGAAACAGAGTCTTAGTAAAAAAGGAGCACAATCGATCCCTAAAAAGAACATCGTAGTGAAAAAGATATTAAAACAAAATTTATCTTCGAATAAGAAAGATGTAGCCTTGAAAGCAAAATTGAATACATCGTCGAAAAAATCTGGATCGAAAATGTCTTCGAAATCGAAACGATCGGCGGAAAGTAATTCCGGTGATCCGAAACCAAAGAAGAAAATCATAAATGAAATAGACAGACTGCTTCAAGACGAAGGCGTTGTAAATTTATTATATGATGTGGAACAACCAGATAAGAAACGATTGATCCCTATCACCAAGTCCCAAGCAAAAGTTATGGACATACAGAAAGTTCAACGCGAACTCAATTTTAGAAAAAAGTTAGTACGAAACGCGGTTCTAAGATTGCGTACTGCAACAGTAGGCGTGTCAAAAGTTTCTCCAAGGTCTAAAAGAACTGCCATACATTTAAGTGACATTCAAATGGATAAGAAAATTGGGGAACAAATTACGCCGGCGAAGTCAAATGTAACACCTGAACCAGAATTTATTTTACCTGCGAAAATAAGGAATGCAGCGGATGCATCTATTATAATCAGGAGACACTCGTCCAGCTCATTTTCCAGTGCATCCGGAAGTCCCAGAGTTAGCGTTGACAGTCTAGAGAAAGCTGATGTTATTAAAACCGAAGAGGGAGGTTCTCATTCATTGAGATCTATGAAGAGGAGACCTTCGCAAGATGAAGGGACTCATATAAAAAAAAATAAAAAGAAAGTTATACAAAAAGTTAATACGGAAATTGATGTGGTTGGTAATGTCGTTGATGATAAAGCGGTTCGTCTCAATAAGAAATCAGATTCAAAGAAGGCTGATAAAAATTCCAAGCAAGTAGATACTACTGTAATAGACGAAACCGGTAGTAATTCAGGTAAAGTTATTACACGGTCAAATGGTACAACTACTGGTAAGGTGACATCAAAAACCAAAAAAACTGCAAAGAGTAAAGTTACATTTGCTAAAGCGTACGAACCAGATAATAATGAAGAATCTTCTAAAGGAGAAGATGAACTTTCAGCCTGCCTTGCTGAAGCTGCAAATGCTCTTTCAGTAGTTAGTGGTGGAAATCGGTCTGGAAATACAACGGCAAATCGTAAAAATAAAGGTAAAAATAATTATTTAACGATATCAGGAATATTCTGTATATCTTGTAAATAGCTTTTATTGTATTGAAAATATTCGTGAGAAAATATACTTGCGATAAATTATAAGATTAATTGTGTTTACAAAAGCAATATGGAGTGTTGAATAAGAGATTGTTTTCCAGCAAATACGAATATCTCCAAAGTATTAGAATTGGATAATAATAAAATAAAAACGGAAACGCGAAGGCAATTCAGTAACAAAGAAATAAGCGTACGACGACACGGCAGACTTGTACAATTAATACTCACTCCGTCATCTTCGACGAAAATAAGAAACGCTCTCACGTTACAGGTAACAAAGTTTTGGAGTAAATCATTTAATAGTTGCTGTTTTTATTATAGACATATGAGTCTTCGTTTATACAGTAGCACATATTTCATGTTTCTAGATGATGCAAGAATTCCGTGAAACATTATCGATTCTGAAGAAAGACGACGATTGTAAAGTTGTTCTATTAACATCAACTGGTAGTAGTTTTTGCGAAGGTCTTGAACTATCAATGTTGTTGCACACAAATAAAGACGAACGACGAGTTCGGGCCGAAGAAATTGCAGACGCTGTTAAGTATGTGACTATTATTATAAAAAGTATATAATTATTGCATATATTTAATTCATTAAAAAGCTATTTTCTTTTGTCAATTTAGAGACTTTATTCAAAGCCTGGCATCGTTCAATAAACCTATCGTTGCTGGAGTTCAAGGCGCTGCAGTTGGTCTTGGAGTAACAATGTTACCTTTATTTGATCTTGTAATAGCTAGTGATAAAGCAACATTTAGCACCCCTTATGGAAAACTTGGGCAAATTGCCGAAGGTGCTTCTATTTTCACTTTATCACACATATTAGGAACTGCAATTGTAAGTGTAATAAATACGCGTAAAGTTCTTCAATTTTATTATATGTTTTTATACAGAACCGATCATAATAAGAGTAATAGATTATTATTATTACTTAATGATATAAGCACCAAATATTTTACGTTCTAGGCAAGTGAGTTACTATTGGGTGGGAGAACTTTAACAGCTAGTGAGGCATTAAGAGCTGGTCTCGTTACACGAGTTCTGTGGCCTGATAGATTTCAAGTTGAATTATTACCAACTTTAAAAGCTATGAGCGAACAATCTTCACAGGTATATGTTCCATACTATAATATCTTAAATGGAAGACAGTAAGCTTTGTAAGCAGGACCAGAATAGAGCAATTCTTGAACATTCTCCGTACTTCTATTTTTATAAATGCACAAATGATTTTCTGGACAAATGCATCTGTGATATGTTGAGTATAAATCAGACCGTATATGCCCGCAAAAGTCATGGGTATTGCACGTTCTTTTCTATATTAAAAAATAAAAATAGTAAAGTTTATTAGAATTAAAATACTTTTATGAATCATTAATATTGAGGGTGTACCTTGATACACTTGAATGTTTGTATAATCAAATCGTTTTCTTCGTATATGTATTTTTGGAGTCTCCAATAATGTGATTGTGGACAGATACAGCTTGACGTTACGTTATATGGTATTAAATAAGAATTATTCCTATCGCTTCTACCGTATACTTTAACGGCTTCATGTTTATACGTACATAAATCTATCTCTGTTCTTGGAGTACAAAACTAGAAAAAGCAGTTTTACTTTAAAAATTTTAGAGTACACTTTGTATTTAGGCATACCTCTATATATGATTTATTATTAAGCGGAAGGGATAAATTTCCAAGCTGTTTCTTCAATTGCCATGGACATTCTTTTCCATTAGGACAACGACACAGTCTTTCGGTTAAACTAGATACCCAAAATCGATTGTGAATTACATTACATGCTTCGTTAATTTCGCATTCGTGTAAATCACTTTCTCCATTAGTCTGCATTAACATCATATATTACACATTATCTCTATGTACGACATTTCATATTTCTCTCTTATTTATGTTTTTCCTATGTGTAACATTTAAATATACTTACACCGTCCATATATTTGAAAGTAACGTTATTTGATTTGCTACTGATAATTGCATAAGAACTGAAACATGTGGTTATTATAGATAGGAGAAGATAAATCAAGATGAACATTTTAACAGTATGGCTGTACTTTTTTGCGATAGTAAATAGCGTTAAATTTATGTCACAAGCAACAATAGAATAGCCCAGTTTTACGCTCTCATCCGTTGCGCATATGCGAAACTGTTTAATATTCATAGTATACATCCGGAATTTTTTTTTCCATTTACATATACGTTAAAAACTACTGCCGATTCTTTAACTATTAATTTATTTGCAGTCTATGGAAGCTACAAAAGCTTTGCTGCGTCAGAGTTTACGAACAAAATTGGACGCGGCATTGGAATCGGAGACGTATTTGCTGATCCAACATTGGTGTTCCGCAGAATGTCAAACTGCCATAAAGGCTTATATAGATGGAAAAGTCCAGTGAGCGTTAAAATGGTAATAATATGTTTTCTCTGTAAATTTCGTTTCAGTTATAATACTTGTACTTTATATATAGAAAGAAAAGTTCATGAGGATAATAAGAACGAATTGGATAATTATTTTGATGGTGTACTACACATACAGTGGTAAAAATTTTATAACGTGTATAGTAATATAGCAAAATGTAAATACATAGTTGTCATTTGTTATATATAATTTGTATATGAAATTGTACAATATATTATTTCTTACTAAAACAATTGTTTTGCAGTTGGTTCTCATATTTGTAACAGCACAAAATAAACATAGCTCGATATTATTCTTCATACGTGTGTTTCTTGTACTGTACAATCTGTATTAATTATTTAACAGTACAAAATTATATAGAACTGTCAACGTGACAAAATAATAATTTGATCAAAGTATTTTTAAAATGGATTTCAATGTTTTTGACTTATAAAAAAAAAAAGTTTGTACAAAAACGTTTGTAAAAAGAGACTTAATAAAAATACAATTCTGTGCTACAGATACCCAACGATTTCAATGGAAATACTAGCAACATATTCCAAGACTACAACTAATATTGTAAAATTGGGTACGAGGAATAGTAACAGGATAATTAATTTTGGAGACATTAAAGTGAGAAAAGAAGTCGTGGCTCTGGTGTGTTATTTTGCATCAATGCACGATTATTTTTAAGATAAGACGTAAAATTATTGAATCATTCAATCAGATCGACTATTTTAATATTAGACCATTTACATATACTAGATATGCACACATATACTTTCTGCGGTATGTTATTATTGTTAGTATAAACTAAAGAAACGATCATCGTAAGCATTGTGGTAGATTTGTGTTCTTTGCATGTACATCAGTTGATCAATTTTGAACAGAATACGATCTCAACTTGTACATTTGAAGTTGATGTATGATTCTTTTATACTCGAGTATCTACTGCTGTGCCTTGGTCGATTTGTAAAAGGATAGAGGAAAATATTTGTAATTTACGCTCGGAAGAGGAAAGTATAAGTATACTTCGTTGTTACAAATGTTGAAACATGCTAAATTACTTTTGAGTGTAGTTTGATTTGTTAAAAATTGTACGTTTGTAATTTCGTTAAAAAGAGTTAAATTATATCGATTATGTACGATATTGCATATATCGATATATGCATAACCATGTTACGTATGTATAGAATTTTGTTTTTACCGATGCATTTACATTGGATATATTTTATGTTGAAAATAATTATTATACAATGCAGACGATGTACTTCACTGCGATATCACGTGGACTATAAATACAAAGAAAGTGTAAGATAAAATTATTTTTAAAAAATGCATATGTACATTAGGACAGTGTATAAGAAATATCTATGCGGTATTTAAGGATCATGAAGGGCTATGAAATAACACTCGAGGCAACATTGAGAAATTTCATTGAATACTGTTCAAAAACACAGAGTATGTTGTAAAGAATACAGTCGCTCTTGTACAAATGTTACACATGTAAGAATAAGCCATTCTAAAACATATTGTATTATCAATGAATATAAAGCCCATACAAATATAAAGGAAATATTCACAAGCCAATTTATGTTTAATGTGTATTAAAAATATATAATTACCTATCTATGTGTATGTGTATGTGTGTGTGTGCGCGCGCGCGCATATATGTATAGTATATATTATATTTGAGATAGTAGTAAACATCTTCAACTGCATTATAATATTAATTCTTCTTCGATTGATAGGCAACTTTAGGCGTATTTTAAACGCAAATTCATATTATCAAGAAGTTAAAAAGTTTGAAGTTATAAACATCATAAAACAATTAACAAAAACTTTATTAAACGCTTTACAGGGGCAGCTATTGCTTGCAGAATTGGCAGTAGGGGCGTTTCATCAAAAAAGTCCAATTTCTTTTTTTAAATTCACTTGTTTCCAAACTGGGAGCTCTTGAAATTCTTCTTTACTCATTCCTAATAAATCCTGTCAGATCAATTGTATTAAATATATATATTTCGTAAGTTAATAATAAATTTGTTCTTTCTTAATAATTTAAAGTATAACGAACAAAACTAACTTCAAAATGTTGCTGTGATAGATACAATTCCAAATGTGTAGGATCAACTCCTTCTGGTAAAGGTCGCTGTAATAATTGAGCTGGAGGGTACGTGCTTTTAGTTAATCGGATCAATTCGTTCTCTACAGTCAATACCTCTCCAGGATTTCGGCCATCCTAATTGCAAGTAACGTGTTTAAATTAATTCAAATAATTTTTATTCGAACAAGGTAGGTAATTATACAAATACCTCTATATTTAATTCTGCAATATCATCCCGATATCTCCATGTAGGAAATAAATTTATGAATCGCAACGGTTCGAGACCAGCCCAGACTAAATAAATTGGAAATTTCATAGTTTCTGGATGAATGTTTTGCCAATATTGCATAGCCATGGTCATGGCTGCTCTCCTTTCAGCTTGCCATCTGACTGCTCTACTACCAGACTGATCCTCCGCTCCGGTATCAGGCCACCAGCCTTGCCATATCCACAGTTCGTGTTTGTTATCCAATAAAAATAAAGCTAGAATAATAATATGTTAGTTTATGTGCGTTACAATGTCTTGAAAATTATGAATTACCTGGTTGACTAACTTGATATAAATCTTCCTGTAGAAAAGGGAACGGAGTTGGCAAAGAAGCACGATGGGGGCACAACATTTCTACAGGTTTAAATTCTTTAGAAATGCTTGATAAATGAAACAGTCTTGGAGTATGTTCCTGTAATTGGTCTTTTTCTAGTGATACGTACAGCTTTTTATTCATTCCTCCTAATGCTATGTAACGAAACATGTTATTAAGTATTCTAACTTTATATGGACCAATATTATATCTTTAACTTTCAGTTACCATTAAAAAACTCTTCTGGTTCGGTTCCCTCGTTAATCTCAAGAATTTCTATATTGCCTTCAGATGACAAACCAGGTTCCGGGGGCCGATTTTCTTGTAACTTCTTTGCTGCGTTGCAAGCATTCTGGTAACATATTTCCATTAAACATGCAAATACAATTATTTATCATGTTTGCAGGTTGTATCAAATTTTATATTGAAATTTTAAAATCATTCTAATATTTTAGGGGTACAAATAAAAAACATGACGAAGGTAAGTGATGAAAAACAACGAAATTGTTTTTAAAATATACGTGCTTAAATTGGTGCCATTAAACGATCTGGATACGAGTGAAATTATTTTAAGTTCTCTGTTATTGTTTTAATCGTTCTAATACAAAACTTATGATGAATACCTTTTTAATATGAGGTAACACATTAGATCCATGCCACACATAAATTTTGTCGTGTTTAGTGTCTAGCAATATAAGAGAACCTCTGCTTCTTAATTGACGAGTACTACAAGGGATCTCTATTAAAGACACCTCTGACTCTAAAGTACCTCGACATATGTACAATCGCCATCGTTTGTCACGTTGTGTATTCGTTTTCTTACCACAGTGTACGATCATTCCACCAGAAAATAAATTGAGAAATGCAGCTGGTTCGTGTCCTTGAACTACACGGAGCTATAAAAAAAAAAGACATGTATGAATACGCGATATGTATTCAACAACTTTTGATTGGATTTAAATAATAATTACCTGAGGTGCTTGATCATTATCTAATTCGACAGTTAGTAAAGCTGCAGCACCCTGTTCGTTCAATGACGCGTTCTGGCCTTGCCAAATAAAATAAACCGAACGATCACGGCCCTTTGCAGAATGCTTTGAAGGCATACCACTAAGCTCACGACCTATATAGAAAACAAATCAATGTACTGCTGTAAAAAAAGCACTGTAAAGCTCAAGATGGAACATATTTACCAGTAATTGTAACGGAATACATCCAATATATAATATAACTATCACCAGAATAAAATTGCCCGACAGACGAATCATTCAAAAGAGTATGCGAGAATTCATCAATGTGCCATACTTTCACGTTCGTTGTTGTGACGACGTACTGTTTCATTAACTGTAAAATAAGTTTGTTGCAAGATTATATCTATTTAAACTACCAAGTTATGGGCTCATTTAGTAATATAATTACCTCGGTGTCATACCAACCAGTACCTCTACCCAAATGACTTCCTTCGAGGACTAAATCAACGGGTGTGGGATTTTCTTCTAATAAAGTATCAATATTGCACGTTTCTATTGTTATGGTTCCGTCGACTTGTTCTTTGCTTTTGTTACCTCGAACTCGTATAATTCCAGAAACATTTGGCCAGTCAAGGAACTTTTCTCTAAAAAGTAACGTTTCTACGTGTTGTGTCAACTTAGCAAGTAAGCACCAGTTAGGTCTGACTTTTGCGGATTTTAAGTCCGTTTGAGATATTACGCGTCTACCAATCATAGATGCCGAAGTAATTGGACATACAGCGCATTCGGAATAATCATATCCTTCTTTCCACATTTCTGTAGCAAGATGCGTTGCAAGTTTCTTTTTGTCGGTAGAAGCTCCCTTTCCACTCCATATGTACATTTCGCTACCAAAATCGAACACTAGCACCTTGACGAATACAATTGATTACAATTCAAGAAGAATATGTACAATACGAAATTACTATTTTGTTATAACAGACCTTGTTTGGATCAAGCATTTCAATTTTCGGTATAGCACCCCAATACTTTTCAAGAGGGACAAGTTCTTCACCTTTAATTTCATACATCATGTTCGTATCTATCATAGCTGTTTCATAGAGTTCGTCTTCGTCAGGATGTCCACCATCAATAACTATAATTAACGAAAGAAAATTAACCTTTATCATATTATTTTTACGTTGTGTATATGATAAAAAATATCGGTATACCATCCATGTTTTCATTCTCGACGCCAAGATAATTCCAAAACTTTTGCAATTGACTTTTCGAACACGTAACTTTATTTTCGTTAATCGTGATGACTTGAGATGCTTGCGTGCCAAGATCTTTATTTTGCTGGATACTCATTGCAATTTCTGCACCTCGAACCTTCTCGATAACGTTACAATATTTTCCAACGTAATTGTAAACCTTAAATAAAAAGAATAACTTCACCCCGACACTTTAATAAGAATTTCATACAACAGCATTTCTTAGTTACCTCTGATTTTGTTACTAAAATAAAATTATCGCCGGTATTTATGCTTTCTGCAACTGGTTCAACTAATCTTACTTGTACGTGACGTCTACCTTTAATTAAAATCAGCATTAAGTCTTTGTATGGCTGTAGCTTATTTATTGAAACGTTCGTTTCGGCAACATTCCTCAGTGTTATATTACTAAAGTCTTCGGTGGAAGCCAGGCCAGCTAAAGCTTCCATAGCCAAAGATGAATTTTTTGCCACTGTAACAATATTTATATCGATACAATCAAATAAAATAATATTACATAAGGTAATAGAACTTACGTTTTTCAACATTCAATTGTTTCATTACTTTTTCCGCGACGCCAGTTCGTATTTCAGTATACTCTGACTTCAAATCAGTGCGAGCTGCAAGCACTTTAAGGGGATTTCTAGAAACGGCACGTCGCCGTTGAATCCGAATATTACGTTTTTGAACTAATCTGTAAATATACGAATCTATAAAATTATCGTTCAAACCACTATTTAGTGATATTGTTCATTGAACAAAAAAAAAGAACTTACAATTCGGATTGCGATGTAATTACGTCAAAATCACTTTCGTTTAAATCGACAGATTCAGCCTCGCATTTCTCTAATGAAATTCCAGTAAAGAAGGAAGTGAATGTTTCATTGTCTATTTTTGGAATTGACACAGTAGGCGATACATTCTTCCCTGTTTTGTATTCTTCCGCTGTAAAATGCATAAACTTTTCTGCAGTCATAATTCAAGGAAACATTAAGAATACAATGTACAATTTGTAAAACCATCTACTAACCACCACTGTCGTCACTTGTAGGCTCAGAAAAGCTTCCTCGCGATTTAGTGTACGAATCTATACTCGGGCTGGTTGGCATAGACACAACGTCCTTCATATATCCTAAAATGCATTTTACGTTTTCAATATCTTACTCGTGCTCAATTTACAAGTACATCGACTTTATTTTAAACGCGATTACCCTTCTTTGCTCTAAATCGTTCCGGGCGAGGAGTTTTCTTTCGCCTATCCGCGATATTTCCTGTAACTTCAATTAGCGGCGAAGACGGTCCCGACTCTAAATCTTTCGGTTGTTCTACTTTCATTTTTCCAGCTACGGTAAACTTCGTTGCATCCGACGCAGCTATTCTTTTCTTCCATCCTTCTGTGGCGGACCCTAATTTTCCAAGACAATCGGCAAGTACTCCATGTTTGATACTGAGTTCTTCCTTATTGGTCGAACTAGTACACAATCCATCCTATCAATTGTTTTATAAATAATGACAATTAATTGCATTATTAGAGGTTTTTTAACAAGGCTATTGATAAAACCAACTAGATAAAATATTCACCGATGTATTGGATGATTCGGACGCTATGCGTCGCTTCCAGTTTGTGCTACCACTACGTTGAAGTGCAGCCAACCGATCTGCGATACTCATACTAGGACCGTCGTTAGTATCCATGGTCGGTATTGCTTGTGTTGCGCTACGATATAATCCCGGTAGTGCTATACCATGTTGTTTCTGTATTGTTACATTACACGATTCGCTTTCGTGTGTTTTGTTGCTAATCGCGTGATGGCTGGCGCTCTTCAACAATGAAGCATATCTGTAAGTACTTAATTACAATATAGGTACACATTTCCACGCACTCTTTAACATAACATAATCTTATCAGTGCTCGTAATAGTAAGTAAACAATCTGACGTCATTCAAAATTTACACTTGATAGTGTCCTGTAGCCGTAGAAAGAATATATATTTTTAAATTAAGAAGTTTTTATATTCAAATTCAGTACAAGATGGGAGATTATTTTAAAGTAATATATGCATATATATTAAGACGAAATTCCTTGCCTGGTTTGCTTTGAAAAAATAGAATGATGAGGAAGTACATCTTCATTTTTTACATTACATACTTCATGATTTCCAGAAGACGTCTCGTCATCTGATATTCGAAGTGTTTCTTCATCCTTTTCAGATGGAACGACTTCAGTTTGAGCATTGTTTATGCCATCTAATGCAGATTTGATTCTTATTCTATTTAATTCAGTCTGAATACTATTTTTGCAAAAAGGCACAGTATGTGTTTGTTTAGCTTCATATTGCCTACCTTTTATACAATTATCCTTCTCCACACTACAGACACAATCCAAGTTGTACTGTGTAGAAAGATTGCTTTCCATTGTACTTTCTACCTGTAAACGAAATCCTACATGAACATTAATGTTCTTGCTTTTACTATAATTACTGTTTACCGTTCGTGTTCAACCTACCTTTGTGTCTTCGAGTTTTAAGTTGGATTTTAATACAGAGCATGGTAAATCGGAATTTTCGAACGTTTGTTGTTCTAACTCTTCCGACTCCTTTTTAAGTACAGATTTTATCAATTTCAAACCTTCGAGTTCGGGACTTTTCGTCCGAGGCACACTATGCGTATGAGATGATACAGGTTTTAAAATGCTTTTTATTACATCATTTTGAGAAGAATTAATTTGTTCATGAAGTTCTTGAAAAGCAGCTAAAATATCAATAATCTATTATTATTATCATCCCAACAACTTTAACAGGCTTCAGTGAATGTATAGTACTCACAACTATCCAACGAATATTGTGCCGCATTTAATGGAGATATTCGAGATGCTACTTCGACTTCTTCGGATGTAACTGGTTGTGTTTTATAGCGAGTAGCTGGTCGTCTCCGTGAATGTCTTTCCAGTGACATATTATCTGACACTGAACTCTTTTCAGTATCAATTTTTTTATTAAATAAACGCACACGTTCTGCCAAGCTTAATTTAGAAGGATCGTACTCATCGTCGGTCGCAGTTAAATTACCTTCTGTTAAATTTGATCGTTTAATTGTTGTAGCGTTACGCTGATTTTGTAGAACTGCCTCCTGCACTTCTTGGAAAGTTACTGGTTGTGTGTTAAATCTATCATTTCCTTGAAGTTTCCGTTCTCTATAACGTTGTATGCCGCGCGAACCCTTGGTTGGTGTCCTTTGAGACACATTATCCTTATCTTTATGATTGGCTTTATCTTGTAATGTTTTGAAATGCAATGCCATTTTGGAAACACTATTACTACGATGAACACTATTACTTTCCCGAGCGTCCGTAACATCATGCTTTTTTTCCAAAGACTCGTCACCCGCGTATTCCTTGTAGTCGGTCATTTCGGCAGAAAGTGTAGTACTTTTATCGGTTCTATTATTTACAGGAAACCCATGTAAATTTATTTTATCTTTCACTTCGGTTTCGAATACTGTTGCAGTCTGTTTTTCTTCGTCCCCAGGTTTATCTTTTATTTTGCTACAATTAAATAGAACACTGACCTAATGAAATGTTACTATAACATCAAACTCCGACTTCAAAATAACGACGTATTGCTATCGTTACTTTTCCCGATGCAAAACGTTGTAACTCCTAATCTAAATATATGCACTGACGAATAATAACGACTTATGAATTTCTTATGCTAGTAGCTTTTGTTTTCCAAATATTATACGAGTTGACATGACAAATTAGTTTAGGTATGTATCTTAAAATTTCTCAAACAGATGATATACACACTGAGAAGAATGACTGTAGAAACTAAACGTATCTTCGGCTTAACAACACACAAGATTGCTGTTTTATAAAAGAAAAACTGTGCCAAAAAATACCGAAGTACTGTTTCATATCTGAATTAACTTTTAGACAGATGTACAGGTTGTGTGCATGCTCCGATTCTGTTTTCTGGTAGCTTTCAGAATTGCTAGGTGGTCTATAAATATACTTGGCACGGATTCAAAATCTTACCAAAGTTACATATTACTATACCAACTAAATGTATAAACAAATATCTGTTGTAGGATATTACACATTGATAGTAAGAATAAATTCAAGTAAACTATTTCAATAAATATTATAATTCATATAACTTAAAATACTGCAATCAAATTCTTAATTTAAAATAAATTTTATTAAAAAAATATAACATTTACAAAGTATATAATTATCAGTGATTTGTAGCACACGTTGCCATTGTAAATTATTTAAATATTATATATATAAAAGTTGCATTACATACCTGTTCAGTGTGTTAGAAAAAGTAGCACAAGTATTGGCACTTTCGTCACTCAAAGAAAGGTCTGTCTTTAAATAGTTGCTGTTGGTCATTAGTCTTGTTTGCGACTTTTCTTTTAACACATCGCTCATAGATGTGAATTCAAGAGATCTTCGTTTATTCAGTGCACCAGCAAATTCGTTAGGAATATTAAAAGGCCGGACATGCCCTACAGATTGTGCTCTTTTTCGCAAAAATAAATCTCCCGGTTCGGTACATACTTCATCATGTAAGTTCAAACGAACTCGCGATTCGTTGTCTCTACTACCGGGTTGCTTCAATATAGGTCGCACAGGATCATTTTCCAACGTTCCACTTGCTCTACCTTGTAAAGAACGGTTTCTAAGCATCGACAGTTTTTTCGGCGAGGTTGATTCTGTCTCGTAATTACATTCGTCCTGTGAATTTTTACGAGTACATTTTAAAATCGTTTTTTTCGGTTTGTCGTCGTGTTCGTCTGATTCAGTGCTTGACTTTTTTTTCAATATTGGTCGTGGTTCCAAAGACGGTGGATCGCTACCAAACGATTCCTCTCGACTGTGCTTTTTCTTTAGTATTGGCCTCACCTTAGAGCTATCAAGTATTTCAGGACCACTCACACTTGTTGCATCCATTGTAATGATCACATGATGATTAACACTACTTGTTCGTAGGCTATTTGTAGATTTTCTTTTAAGTATACCCTGTGGTTCTAAAGAACCAACCTGTCGATCTTCTCTATCATCTTCTCTAGACGATTTTCGTTTTAATATGGAAGTAGGCTGGGGATCTGGACTTTGATCCCTCTTAATAATTTCGTCCAGAGATGATCGTCTTTGATTTTTTAATATTGGCCTGAATTCAGAATAAGCATTATCAGCAAAAGAGATGTCTGGCGAGCAGCTACGACGTCGAAGTATCTCACTCTCATCTAAGCTACTACGCTTTTTTAAAATACCATGTCTTTTATGTGTTGGTTCCACTACAGATGGCGAAAAGGTTACTGGCAAAACTGTATGAGTGGAATTAGACAAATTTTGACCTGCTTCGTTATCAGACATCTTATGCTTAAGGATAGAAACTGGCTTATGTTGATGGCTTAAAGATCCATCTTGAGTATGTTCATCGTTTGATTTCTTTAAAATAGAACATTTTCTTGGCGATGATTGTAACGCATGTGCATTATTTGCGTTAGTTTCTGTATTACTAACGGAATTTCCTTCAGACGCGTTGGACGAATGATTTTCCAATTGTGGTCCATAACTTGTAGACAAATTTGCCTGCGACGCGAGTCTTTCCACGCGTTCTATTGCAGACTTTGTTAATGCTGTTAATGCATCAACTCTTCGTGAAACTTCTGAATCGCTATATCCACCACTGCCACAAAATAAAATTTTGTATTACTTTTGTACTTGAACAAAATAATAAGAGAATGAAGAGCAAATCATAAGATAATTGAAATAGTAATTAGAATATTAATCGCAAATAGATACAAATAAACGTTCTGCAAAAAGTGAATAAATAAAATTACCTAGTTCGTTGTATATTTGAATATTTAGTGCTTGCAAGAGGATTAACAGAAGGCGATGTAGAGGTTTTTGGATGATTTGTAACATATTGAGTACTAACTTTCTGATAAACTGTTTTTGACTCAAGTGGTTTTTTACTTAAATTAGTTGTTGTTACTTGACGTTGATTATTAGAATTGGAAGTAGATATCGTGTCAGATATGTAGCTTTGCTTGTTTGATTGTCTTCTGGATCGTCTATCATTACATTCAGCTAAAAATATATACCAAATTTTGACTTCTTACCAAGTGAAATCAAATAGTTATTATATTAAATTACTTACACTGATTTAAACGATCACCTGTTGTTGCTTCCATATTAAGCGATCGATTTAAATATGATTTTCGTTTATAACCTTTATCTCTTTCTCTTATAGGATTTATAGTACTACTGTTACCTGATATTGAATTTTCCTGTATACGTTATAACTCGTTATTGTTTTTCATATACATTCTATAATCACACATTTAAAATAAATACTTACAATCTTAACTAATGGACTAGTAGTGGATTGAAGACCTAAAGGGGCAGATGTATCTGACATACCTAATTTTCTTGATACTAATGTTCCTCCTACATAAATAAAATAATAAAGTGCAAAGACTAATAATAAAATATAATATTAAATTGCAACCAATTATAATTTACCATTAAGCGATGTAATTGAAGCAGCCCTTAATCTGGAAGCTTTAGTTTCACGAATTGTTGTTGTCTTATACAATGTAAGATTCTTACTACTTTCTTTATTTTCTGACCTTGAAATTAAACGACTGTTTTTATCCAGCATGGAGTTACGACTCTTACTCTCTGTTATAAAAACATTGAGAAATATTTGTATCAAATTGAAGTACATCACATATACACTAAAAATCTGTATATTATTTAGCAATTGTTTTTGCATATATAAATAGTAATAATAGAAATTTAGTTTTCGAATTTTTAAAATTCAAGCGTGGTTCACTTACTAGTCACAGCGCAAGATGGTATAGTCTTTTTAACTGGACATTCTATACTTTGAAGACTATGATGTATTTCATTATAATGAGAACAAACATTTTGATTCTCATATCGTGTGGAATTATTTTCTGTTCTGTTCAAAGAACCTTTTTTGCTGGCTGCCATTAAAACTGTGGCTCCAGCAGCTACCATTCCTAAAAGTAGACGCATATCACATATGATTGCTTTAAACATGCTTTTTTGTTATCACCTAATTATATACAAATAGGCACACTTAATGCCTCAAAGTTTAAAAGTAACAGTCCGATAGAAATAAATCATACACGTGAAATTAAAAATTTTAACGATTTTTAACAATTAAAATTTAATATGACAGTTTAATAAAGAAACAAATAATAATATTAAACGTTTTAAGAGTAATCCATTTATTCCTTAAGAGTTTAGAACATATGCGTGCACGATGCAAAATCTAAAAATAGTCTTGACAAAAGTTTTCACCTGTTTCAAAAACGAAATTCAACCGTACATATTGTTACAAAAACATCATAAGATTCTATCGCGACAAACAACACTCGTGTTTTCGATTTTTAATAACAATATTCAAGATGTTTACAGTGCTTTAATATCGTACAATGTGAATTATGACAAAATATCTCCTTACACTTACTGATCTAATAAAACTTTTGTTTCATTGCAGCCATATCACAATTCAAAACAAATCTACAAATAATCAAGAACGCAGCCAGTGACGCAGATGAGTTACGTCGTTATCACAGCTATTCAATAAGTACTACTTATAAAATACATATAAAAAGAACACATACAAATCGGGTAGTTGTATAAAATACGCGAAATTCAGATTCTGTCACGAGCAAAATAATTTATAACGAAAAAAAAAATTTCCTTCCAGGAAAAATTGCACAGGTATTAGTCATTACAATTTCTCTTATAACGAAGTAGAACCAGTGTGGCCAGATTTGGCATAATTCAGTTCATCGACGGCGACACTAGTAACGACGAACTTCCTTAGCGTTTAATGGAGCGGTAGGGAAAGCCGCACATATCCTACCGCACGACTCATATTACGTGAGCTCGGCAGTTCGCGCAACTTGTGAAATCGAGAAAGAAGGCGAATGTGAGCCGTAAATAAAAGTTAAGACTGTTTGGTCTACGAAAAAACTAATAATAAACATTCTTTGTTATAAAATTAAAGAATTATTATTTGAAATAATACAATACATTGGAAATAAATAAATAAAATATGTCGGCTTTCCCCACCACTCCGTTAAACGCTAAGGAGATTCGTCGTTACTAGTGTCGTCGTCGATACACTCAATTATGCCAAATCTGACCACACTGGGCCACACTGAGTAGAACGAATAGAATCGAAAGTACGTGACATATCGAACCAGATGGCGTTGCTTAGGTTGAATCAACTTACATCAAGATCACAAACACGAAGAAGAATAAAAAGTAATGTTTAATTAAAATTTATAGCGCCGAACTGTTTGAAAAAAATTTTTAACATTCAAGCTCAATTTACCAATGTACATTTCGATTTTTGTAGATTCCCACCAAGAATAGTTGTCCACCAATATTAATTTGATATTAAAGTTTAACAGCACACCAATGTTTTATGTGTGAAAATAAATAATGTGAATATAATTTATTGTTTTAAGGAAAATGATACTCCAATGTGTTCTGCTATATTGAAACAAGCAAGACATGGATAATATAGAATTACTATTTTTTGACACATTTTCACATGATATTTCAGAGGTAAGGTTACTTTGTTTACCTTTATGTATGATACGACGACACGTGTGACAATTTTAACAAATGCCTTTCATCCTTTTCAGGAACTCAATTTAGATTTAGTCCAGTTTCCAAAACCGGTTTATATTAGCGAAGTTAGAATTATACCATTAGGAGCTAGAGTACAGGCAGATTTTCCTGGAGGTGTTCGTTTAGGGTAACTAATGATTTCCTTGAAATTGTTTTATGTTCTAAATTGGAGAAACTACAGTTAATGTTACTTTATGATGTATTCTAATTTTAGAGCAACAAATCCATCTCAATTTGAAATTGAATTTTTTGTAAACGATTTAAGTAAACCTGGAGCTTCTACCTTTGAATCTCTTGGGGAATTGGAATATAAACAAAATATTCATATTCAGTTAGAATGCGAGAGAAAACAAATTCCCACAGATGGATTAGTATTAAGAGGATGGTATACTACTATCACTTTGGCTGTGTATGGAACATTGACAAAATCTTTGAATAATCCGCAAGAAGTTATTAGTTCAGCTGCTGGTTCCGCAGTTTGTACTAGTGGATTGGAGGAAGTTGTGGAAAATACTACTCAAATTTCAGAACAGCAGTCCGAGTGGTATTATGAAAATCAAGGCCAGACAAATTCAAGTGTGGGTATAAGTAATATAAAAATTATTGTAAATTTATGACTTACTTTAGAAGTAACGATTTTTACATTTATAGGAAACATGTATAGCAGCAACACCACCACCTCCTATACAACCGATACAAACAGTAGAATCAACCAGAAATTCAATATCAGATACTGGAAAGACAGATGTAGTACATTGGGAAGAAGATGGTACAAATGGTACACTAAAACCAGTGAAACGCCCTTCTTCGCCGCCCTCTGAATCTTTAGTATCTTTAAGTCCTGAATCAATATCGGCTGAAGAAGAAGAAGGTGAACAGGATGGTGGTGAACCAGAAACAGGAGAACCATTTGAACCTATATTATCTGATGAAGACATAATGGCAGATGATATACCATCCACTACAGAATATGAATGTGAAAATGTGCAATTAGATGACATTTATTCGTTAACGCCACCCGATTTATTGGAGCTAGAAAAATCAGTGAATATTGTCGAAGAATACACTATTAACAATGAAATGTTGGATAAGATACATGAAATATTGCAATCTTTATCAAAGTCAGTTTTACATTTTAATAATGCATCAGGTCAAGAGAAAGAAACATTCGTTCATAATTGTGAATCTTTATGCGCGATACTTAGCCCTTTTTATTTAAATAGCACCGATTTTAATGACTTGACCAATATCGTGAATGCGGGCTTAGACATGGATCTTGCTCGCGCTCAACCTCAACCAGCTTATAAAGTTCGCCACGTGAAAGTTGGTGTACGATTAGCAGAAGCTTTATGTAAACTTTCACAAGGTCCAGATATATTATTAAAAGTAGACGCCCCTTATAAATTATTGGCATTGTGCATGCGTGAAAACGTAGCGCTTCCTGTAAAACTCTCTGCTCTTCGTACATTAGACGCTGCATTGATAAGTCCTGTGATTGTCCAGGAGTTTCTTAAGTCAAAAAGTAATTTATATAAAAATGCTTTAATGATGTTAGACACGGCTAAGTTAGCAAGATTAAAATACGCCTTGAGCTCGTTGTTACGAAAAGTACATACTTATGAATTTCTTGACGAAATGACAGACCTCAACGAATTCGCTATGACCGAATTGATGAATACGTATGTATACGCGCCTACATTAATGGCTCAACCGAAACGTCAATTACCAGCTGGAGCCCAAATGGAATTTGAACGGGAGCAAAATCGAAATCCTCGATGTCATCTAATAGCATACTTCGACCATCATAAACTTTTGTATCACATTCTTGTGGCACTTACTTCTCCAAAGTCAGACTTGAATTTAATTAAAGCTTCCCGACGTTTTCTTTTGCGTATTTCCGATACAAAAGAAGGTTTACTATATTTGTTGAAAGATCCGGGTGTTACCAAATTAATTTTGAAAGCTTTAAAGTGTGAATTACCTGGAATAGGATCAGTTTTAGCTTGGCGGCTTCAAGTTGTACAGTGTTTATTACGTTTAAAATATCAACCTTCCGATTGGTTGGCTTTGAAAAAGCTTCATTCTTTTCTAATATTTCCCGAAGGTTTACAAGCCATAATAACAGTACTTCCAACAGGGGAATTTATCGATATTTTAATCCCCTATCTTTCTGATGCAAATCTTTGCGAATTTTCAGCAGAAATTATATCGACAATCATTCGTTATTCCGATCGAATAGAGGTATTTCAAAATCGTGCTACAATTATTTTAGAAAAATCACGAGCTCAGGCTGTTCTAAAAGACGTTACATCGTATATGACTACGGCCGCACAAGCTACTCATTGGAATTATGGAGATGTATCTCAACTCGTTGCGTGTATTAGAAAAAGTGCAGACAAAGCAGCCTTTCTTCCAGGACAATTAATTACTGCATGTAGAATTTTATATTATCTTGTTTTCCCTTCAAACAATGACGTGGATCCAATGGAGCCTTATATCGAATTAAAATATAGGAATGCATTGACTCAGTTATTTGCCGCCGATGGTTTAACAGCTCTTATTGCAGTTATGGCGAGTATTTCAGAATTTTACGAACAACCATTTTTGCATCGTGCAGCTTTAACAGGTCGAAGGGGTTTAGCATTAGTTGCATTGCTTCTTCCATGTGTAAGATTAACAAGAGCATTGCTAGAACGTCTTGTAAAATGTATGGCGACAGACTTTAAAGATTTAACGGCTGTAGTACCGCTACTTGGTGTTTATTCGTTGGTTGAAGCTATTCCTCCTGTTCGAATTGTTCAAACATTATCCGAAGAAATAGTAGGAACACTTCTAGTTTTCACACAAGCTGTGGATTCAGATGGATCTGGAAATGTAGCAAAATCATTATGGACACAAATGTTAGGCGAAGTTTTAAAGATGGTTTCCCTTAGTCCATGTAATTTTATACCTGGTTTGAAACTTCTAACAAGATTATTACCACCTGTTTTAACTTTGAAAGAAACGATAACCGAAGATGCTGCTCGTATTCTGGGCTTCAGAAAATTATGGTCCGCTCACTTACAGGCTCAGGCTAATAATTTAATTGAAACATTACGTTTGCTTTGTGCTAGTTGGAACAAAGATTTACTAGTTCTTCTTTCAAAAGTATGTAAGCAATTAAGTGATTTAGCGGCACCTACAGCTTTACTAGTGGGCAGGTGTTTATTAGATGGTATAATAGCTGCGACTTCCCTAGAAAATAATGTTTTAATTCTTGCATTACTTAGTGAGCTTGCAAGACATGCACCTATGAAAGCCACTTTGTTAACTTTAACTAGCCCCGCATCTAGAGCACAAGTGAAATCAGATCAGAAGTATCCGCCTGTTATCGAGATGATGTGTACAGTACTTAAAAATACAAATAACATTCGAATACAGTATGAACTTCTTGATATTTTTGAGACATTGTGTGATTGTACGCTGAGTCTTATGCAAGAAGATACAAACGAACCTTTTGAGAAAAGGCTCACGCATTCGGTACCAAGTAAAGAACCGCTTCTATCTATTCTGGCTGCGCTCATCGACATATTAGCGACTAGCACAAAATTTGAACCTGAAATACTACAAAGTACCCTTCGTATACTTTTGTCTCTTAGTAGTCATAATTATGGCTTATATCATGTAAAAAGTTGTTTGGAAAATAATCCTGATGCATTACGATCGTTATTAGAGCATATTTCTGTGTTAGAAGATCCTGAAGCTCAAGCAGTTGTCAATTTAACTATAATGTTTTTAGAAAATTTAATTGCGTCTGAATCACAGGGAAGATCCTTGTATCTACGTGTACAGCAACTAGCATCTTTGATATCATGGGATAAAAATGATCATCCCTTAGAAAAGATAAAAAGTGCACAAGAATTAGTGGAAATTTTTAAGTCTGCCGAAGATAAAGAAGAAAAGGAACCAATTCCAGAAATGTTAGAACCGTTATTACCAACTCCAGAAGCTCTATTGAATCAATTTTCTCAGCGATGTTTAGGAACTCCCGATTTCATTCTCAAACGATCAAAGAAAGTTGCATTTATGTCGCCTAGTCAAGCACCAAATGAAAATACAGTGGATTTGTTAGCTCTTGCAGCTGAATTACTTCCTACTGATTTTAATCTATTAATAGAAGCTCAAAGTTTGTGTTCTAAGGCACCTCCTGATGATGCCACTCAACCACTGCAATCAAAAACTCAAACAGATGATCAAGAAACTAGAGACATTCAAAAGCAATCAACGTCTCCTGTTTCTAAAGTAAAACAACCATTTGGTGAGTTATACAGATGTACATATTTATTATATGATAAAACAAATCAGAAACTAGTAATAATATCATACAAAAGTTTTATACATGTAAAGAGACATCTTTGAATAATGTTTCTTTTATTGTTCTTCTTCCTATCATTTTGCAGTTACGCCTATGCGAGGTAGAACGCAATTTACCAATTCTTTAAGAGGTGGTCCAGTAGTAGGAGGTGTAGGTAGAGGCGCAGATCCATTTAGATCCAGACCACCAAACACTTCGCGACCCCCATCTCTTCATGTTGATGACTTTGTAGCATTAGAAACATGTGGAGCGCAGCCAACAGGACCTACAGGTTATAATAAACTTAGTATCCGCGGAACTTGTCCTTCTCGAGCGATCAATGCGGGAACAAGGAGCAGGCCTTGGGCACAAGAAACACGACCTCCTTATCTCCGTTAATTTTAAGTTTAGTTAGAAATAAATAATGCTCACTCATGATAACACTGATTTTGTAATTTGCCACCTACAATGCAATTAAAAATTTCATAATAACAAATTTAATATATGATACAGTAAATTTTGTATAAGACTCTTTTTCATAATAATAAAACCATTTAAGTCTCTACATATAGAAAGTGCAACGTCTGTCTGTTATCAACAATCTGCGACTGTTTACTTTTAAACAGTTAATAGTAATAGGAATAGCTCCAGACTTACTGTATTAGCTACATACTATAGACCTCGACTTGGTAAATATCTACGTAATTAATAAGTATCAATATTTTCTGATTTTGTGATCATAGTTTACATCAGTCGCTACGCGTTTAAGCGACATTTACATCTAATATAGACAATCATTCGAGTTGTCTCGGAATAGAGACATTAATATAGTAGATGGAACTGAGGTGTCGCGTTCGAATTCATTTACGATTTAAGAAACCTTTTAGTAATAAAAATTTATAAATATCTGGGCAAATCCAGATACTAAAAACTAGTAATAAATAAAACAAGCAATTTTGAAAGTTAGAATTCTACACAATTACAATTAATATTAACTAGAGTTTTAATTTTAAAAAACATAATCTAAAAATTATTTCTTGTTTATTTACAATACTCACTGTTGATAAGTACATTCATAGACACTATTTCGATGCTTTAACACTACATTTTTTGTACTCTTTGTTTCCATTCGTTATAGTATATTTTAAATTCATTATAATTCTTCTTTGCGTATCTTATTTCTTTACGATTGTATCTATTCTGAAATGCAAATGAATATTAAACTGTAATTTTATAACATACATATTTCAAACTGACTGAAAATAATTTATATACCTCGGTTTTTATATATTCTAATACCAATTTCTCAAACTTTTCTAAGGTATCTAACATATACTTAGATGGTTTCATATGATACTCTGATATATAATTCATCAAAAATTGTACATATTTAAAATTTTTGCTGCGACATGCTCGCTGCATTAGTATATCCAACACTATAGAATTAGGTGTAAAACCAATCATATTCATTTGTTCTAAAAGTTCTGCTCCTTGCCTAAGACTTGTACATCCAAGAGCTAATACCCCAAATGTTATAATATTTGGTATAAGATGATGTCTTTGTATTTCATTAATAACATCCTATATTAAAATAAAATTTAATATTATAACATTCAAAATGTATGTAAACTGCATTATGGATTATTCGTTAATATTGTATACTTACTTTTGCTGCTTTATACTGTTTCCTATTATTTCTCCTTTTAATGAGCATGTTATACAAAGTAATATCTGTTTTCAGTTTTTTACTCTCAATATGTTTGAGATAAATATTTTCTATATGCGTGGAAGGTGGAAGTAATTCCAACATGATTGTTAATGTTTTTTCATCAGGTATGACATTATCACTTTCCATTTGTGTGAATAATTTTTCTACTCCTCCAAATAAAAGTAATTTATTCATTTCTAATATGTCATTTAAACTTTGGGACAATATAGCTTCAGTGGTCACAACAGCCTTTGAATCATTATTCTTTGACACAACATCTATAGATTTATTTTGTGTCTGCTCCTTAATCATTTGAAAACACATGGTGCTTAATACAGGTGGGGATTGTAATAAGTCTGGTTTTCCAGTTTCAATAAGCTGAATTTGTGTACCTGCTAAATTTCTTTGCAAGATATCATTTACTTTTAGATCTCCAAATTTTGTATCTCTGATTGCTCTTAAAAGTAGATTATAATGCGTTAAATTTGGTCTTATTTTATGTTCTTTCATCTTATGCCACAAAATTAAAGCATATATTAATCCACTTTCTTTATTACTGATCGCTGAGTGAAATAAACAAGCATATGTATCTTTTGTGAATAGATGTTTATCCTGTGCCTCATCTGCTAGTTCAAAAGCAGTTTTCATTTCTTGATGCCAACTATAAGCTTTTATTAAAGTAATATAGTGTGTTTCATTTAAACTGTAATTATGCTCGTGGAAATATTCTCTCAAGCGATGCAAATACATCAATGCTGTCTTTTTATCTTTTGATACAGCGCAAACATTGATTAAACTGTTATATATTGCTGGAGTAGGAGTTAAATTATAATCCTTCAGTTTATTATAGAGTTTAAAACATACTTTGATATTTCCTTGTAAAGCAAATGCACGTATTAAAAGAAGATACATATATATATTAGGCTTGTCACGATTTGCTTTTACTAAATCTAATACGCTTAATGCTTGATTCAAATCTTTTTTTCCTATATGAGATATAATAAGATCGCAATATTGACCAAGACTTAATTTTTGCCACCTTGGAATTCTTGCATCATTTTCCATAAATCTCTCTTCTTTTATTTCATCATCGTCCATTTCAACTTTTTCATATTTTTCATATGAAAGATCTCCAAATACATTGGCGTTTTTGACTAAACTGTCCGTACAGAATGTTTTGTTAACATTCAATAAATTTGAAAGACATCTTTTAACATGCCTACTTAAAGGATCATTTTTATTATATCCATATTTGTTATATAGTAAAGGACATAAAACCCTGGTATTGATACTTGCGTAATTGCTATAACTGTGCGCTTTCAGTTCGTATAAACAATGTTTTCGTTGTTTGATATAACAAACATGATCGTTTGTATAACCTCTGACAATCTTTGATTTTAAAAAGAAATTTGATCTCGACAAATATATATTAAACATAGTAACGAATCTTTATCAAAATATCTGAGCAAAGTACAGTCTTTTTTCTGTGGACATCCGAATATTATTTATGTACAATGTTTTCTCTTCCACGTGTTAGAAACAATCATAAATATATATGTATATCGCTCTGTACTTTTTTTTATCTTCTATTCGTAAATTGATCGCTACTATAAAAACGTATATATATTTTAAACTGCAATTATTTTATTAAGACAGGATTGTATAAAAACAGTAATGTATACGTATGCTATAAATGCATTTTCTTTCGTTACCATTGTTTTTACAATAAAAGCGGGAATTTATGGAATATATACATCTTCTTGGGAAAATAGAGAAATTCAATTAAAATGAAAGTATTGCACATAATAAATGTTATGAATATAATGAATATAATGAATATTGCAATAATAACAGATGTACTGATAATTGAATTATTTATATATAAAGTTAATTGCAAAATGGCACACTAGCGCTAAGTACAACTGATCAGAACGCTGTAGTCTGTAGTTTCCAGTGAGCCGCGTCAGTTCGATAAAGTCTGTAGTGATATACGAAGTGAAAAGCGATAGGTATTAAATGTGTTATCAAATGTGCCTTCGATCGAGCACAATTATTCACGAAGTACTAGTTTAATACTAAAGAGAGATTTGCTCGATTTTATAAATTACATCTAAAAGGAAAGATGGACCAAACAGACGAAAACGAACACAATGCGTTGCGAGAAGTTTTAAGCGACGAAGAATTAACACAAATTCCGGAAGAATTCGTTAAGAAATTAAACACGTACTTTAAAGATAAATTTGAACAGTATATTACGGCTAAAGCAGTTTTTGAAACTAATAGGAAAAGCTTTGGTAAGTTTAAGTTGAATTTTGTACTTTTTGCTATAATAACGATTGCCCGGTCTATTTACAAGGAGTTAACCTCCTTCCGTAAGGATATGCCATGTCCGTTAAATAATTTGAACGAACTGGTTTATTAAAGATAAATACGATGTTTTTCTTCACGTACAGATATTTGTACTTTATTTCATCAAATGATAAATCAACACGAAAATGTGGCATTTCAGTAAACGATATTAAAATTAGAATATTAAAAAAAAAAAAAAGAAAAATTTATTGTTCAACAGCTTTTTTATTACCTAAGCGTATTTATATTGTATTACAATAAAATGTTTTCTATAACCAAAATTTTGTTGACAATTTTTTAACTGAACTTTAGATCAAACTTTGGATAAATTACAAAAAGACTTGGTTGAAGAAAAATCAAACTTTCAAGAGTATAAGGAAAAATTAGACGTGGCAGAGAAATTCAATGCTGAATTACAAACTAATTTAGATGAAGCTAAGAGCGAAATACATAAACTACAAGAGAATGTTAAAAGGTATTGTCTAAAATATACATGTCATAGCATTACAATAACTAATTTAATATTTAATATTATAGATTGGAGAAGGAAAATGTAGATTTACGCAGGTACAGAGATACAATAGTCGATGAAAGAGATGCGTTGCAATTACAGGTTGAACGACGAGACACAGAAATTGAAAGAATGCATACGGAATTATCTTCTCTAGGTAGTCAACTACAAAAAGCTGTTACTACAAAATGTCAAGTTCTAGCAGAAACAGAGGAAATTCGAAGTCGCGATATGACTCTTGATTTCAAGTATGAATCTTAAATAAGTATATAATATAATTTTTTTCAAGAGATGTATTACATTAAATTTTTTCAGGGAGAAACGTCTAGAGCAAGAAAGGACACTTCTTCTGCAACAAATGTCAGGCCTTGAAGAGGAATTAGTAAAAAGAACATCAGAATTACAAACAGCAAGATCAGAAGCTTCTGCGCGATCATTTTTAACCGAAACTCGTTTGGCACAACGCGACGAAGAATTACGTATTGCTAATGAGGCAATGTCGCAACTACGAGAATCATATGCATTAATTCAAAAACGCTGTGACGAATTTGCTCAAAAATTAGAAGGGCAGCGTTCTCACGAAATTTCTATACATGCTTCCTATAGAGAAGAAATTACAGCTCAAACTAGATTGGCCGATCTTTATAAAGGAATGGCAGATGAAGCAAATGCAAAAGCTGAAGAATTTAGTACAGCGGTTAAAGAACTTCAGGAATTATTAGAGCATGCCACAGAACAATACGGAAAACTAGAGACTACGCATAATCAACTTCAATTACAGCACAAAGAAAATTTAGAAGAAAAGGAACGGAAAATAGACGAACTTTCGAAAGAATTAAATCACGCGAATGAATTACTTAAAAGCATTAAACAAGGTAAATAGTTCTTTTGGAGAAATATATATTTTGTTTGTTTAATAATTATACAATTTTTTACAGAGAGATTAGATCAAGCTGTTGAACAACTTGCACCAACAGCAGCAATAACTAGTCGCGTGCTTAGGAAAGGCTTGAGTCTTACACAGATTTACACACAATTAGTTGATGCAACAAACGAATTAACTTCCGAACGTGAGGAAAACGAACGACTGAAGTCTCACATGGAAGTCATTTTACGTGAATTAGAAGATAAAGCACCTATTTTACAACAACAACGTGAAGATTATGAAACTGCTATGACTAATATTGCAACTCTTACATCAAGATTAGATGAACTTTTAGCAGAAAACCATAAGTTGCAAGAAGTAGCGGATGAAGCAAATCGTATTGCTAAACATCATACTAAAGAAAATCAAAGATTGAAGACAGAACTGTCAGATTTAGCAAGACAAGTAAGCAGCTTGTGATTATATACCGTTATGCATATTGTATATGCCTTAATAACAAAATTACATATATATACATAATATATATATATATCATTTTGTTTTAGGTGTGCTTCCTTTTGAAGGAAGTTCAAGAAAGTAGAAGTGGTGCAACTATTCATTCAAATGAATTTTCAAATTCAATGGATGTGGATAATCTTGCTTCGTCTGAAATTATCAGTAAAAAGCTTGTGACTTTTAAAGACATCGAAGAATTACAAGAAAATAATCAAAAATTATTATCGATAGTCCGTACATTATCGTCGAGGCAGGAAGAAATTGAGAAAGCAACCGATGAAATAAATTCTGGTGAAATGAAGGAAAAATTAGATAGGTATTTAGAACAGTTAGAAGATATGCAAGCTGCGCAAGACAGACAAGGAAAAATGTTAGAGGGCCTTTTAAGACAGCGAGATATGTATAAAAATATGTATCAACAATGTTTGAAACAGACAAATATGTCAGAAAAGAAGGACGCCTCCATCATATCGGAAGAAGATACGAAAGAGATGGATGGGGAAAAAGTTGTTAAAGATGAGTCATCTAAAATTACTCAGGATGACGCGAATAAAGAAAAGGAATTGAAAAAACAATTAATAGAATGCGAAAGTAAATTAAAACAAGTTACAGATGAATATGATATTTATAGAAAGGAAAAAGCAGCGCATGAACGAATGTTAGGAGAAGAAGTTGAAAGACTTAGAAAAGAAGCAGAAGCAAGTTCAGCCCGGTGTTGTAGATTGAAAGCACAATTAGATTCAGCTAATGATAGATTTAATCTTTTACAAGCAAACGTTAGTTCTTACAAGTCTCAGATAAAAGTTCTCGAGGAGAAATGTTTTAATTATAATGTTACAATCGGCAAGCACGAACAAAGTTTAATGATTCTGAAGGATGAAACTTTGGCTGCTAAGATGCATTCGTCTCGAGCTGAAGTGCAATTGGAAAACTTACGGCAGGAAACACAATTTTTACGCGGCTCTGAAGAACGCCTTTTAAAAGAACGCGAAGTGTACGAGAGAGAACGTCAAACGCAAGCTTTGTTGCAAGCGGACGTTGAATTTATTAAAGCTAGTTTAGAACGTGTTCAAGCCGAAGGTCAACTACGTGCCGAGCAACGTTTGGATGATGCTACGAGGGAATGTGCAGCTTTGAGACGGCGATTGCAGGAAGAACAAGACCGATTTAGAGAATTAACGTCCCATTTGGAAAGGCAACTCGCAACAACACAGGAACGACTTACCGAGGAACGTAATATAACTGAACAAATTCGTGTAGAGTTGGAACAAACCCGTCAATCTGATTCCCAAAATACACAGCGCATAGAGGAACTCAATATTAAACTTAGACAAGCCGTTAATCATTCAATATCAAAACCTATCAGTGGCGATGAAAATCTCGTAAAGAGACTAAAAGAACTTGAATTGCAACTTGCGACGACACAAGCAGAAGCGAAATCTTTGTCAGAACAACTGAAAGCCGCGCGGCAACAGGGCCAACAGTATTGCGATATAGCCGAAAGCGCAGAAGCACAATTAAGAGAATTAACTACGCAACATAACAAGTGTAAAGAGGATTTAGAAACCGCGTTAAAAGAAGCACGGGTAGAAATAATGTCTTTGCAAAAGAGAGTACAGGATTTGGTAGAAGAATTAGCAAAAGTTTCCAGCGGTAGACAAGAAACCGACTCTGTATTAAGAGAAAAATTAGCCGACGCAGAGAGGAAACTTGAAGAATTAGACGAAGTTAAAGGAGAATTAGAGATCATTAAAGGCGATTTGTATACTGCTTCGGTAACGGCAAAAGAAGCAGAAGAGAAATATGCTAGAGAAATGGTATTGCATTCAGCAGATCTTCAGACGTTAGCGAAGTTAAAAGAAGAAGCACAAACGGTAGACAAAAAGATGACAACATTGACTCAGGAAAGAAATTCTGCTGTAGAAACTTTAGAACTTGCGAAGTCAGCTTGCAACGAAAGGGAAAAGAAATTGCTTGACGAAATGGAGGGGATACAACAAAGAGTAAATGATTTGGATGCACAAAATGCTATTTTACATACGCAAATTCAGGAATTAAGCGAGAAAACTGCAATTATGCACAGTCAACAAACGAAAATGAGCAGCCAGGAAAGTCCCGACACTAGTTTAGAAGCGATGAATCGTAGTTTTAGTGGCCTTGAAGATGATTCTAAATCTGCAGAACAATTGCTAAGAGTGATGAAGTATCTGAGACGCGAGAAAGATTTGGCTGTAACGAAATTTGACGTTTTGAGGGCAGAGAACCTTCGATTAAAGTCCCAAATGGAGGTTAGTATTACGTTTATTTATAGAAATTTGTATACATGAAAATTTTTCTTTGTTGGATTACCTACAATGTGTCTTCGTTAATATAGGTCCTAGAGAAGAGAGTAAAGGAAAGCGAGGCTGTTCTAAATTCAGAAAGAGAAAAGTCAGAAATCGATGTAGTGACCACGTCTAAGCACGCGGAGCTACTACGAAAAGTTGAAACATTAAACGCGATTGCTGATTCTAACAGAATTCTGAGAGAAGAAAGAGACAGTCTAAGTGCAAAGGTTTCAGAGCTTACTGCGAAAGTTGCTGCGCTTTCGGAAGAAGTTGTGCCACTTCGAGACACGACGCGAGACATGCAAGTGAAAATAGAGGCTTTGTTGCAGGAAAATACAAGTCTTAAGGCGGAGGCAACTAGATGGAGGCAAAGAGCTAACGCATTGGTGGAGAGAGCTAACAAGACAAGTCCGGAAGATTGGCGTAGATTGCAAACCGAACGCGAAAATCTTAGCAAACTGCTCACTTCCGAACGTGAGACGCACGCTAAACGCGCGGAAGAATTCAATCAATTGAAAACGGAGAAAACTAAATTGGAAGAGCAACTGATACAACTCCAGAAACAATTGCAAGCACAAGGGGAACAAGTTCAGAAAGTCTCCGAGGAAGCGCGTAAATTAAGTTTGGATTTGAACGAAGCACTTGCTGATTCTACTTCCAAAGCTAAAGATCTAGCCACACTGAGGAAAGAGCTTGGCGATAAAGAAGTAGTCTTGAATGACATTAAGAATAAGGAGATTCAAATAAGAAAAATAGCAAAGAAATACAAGACTCAGTTTGAGGAACTTGCGAAAACAGTGGAGGAAGAGAAAAATCGATCCGAAGAGTCTCGAATAGCGGCTGGAACTTCAGGCAGCGAGGATTCTGCTTACGTGTCCCAGGAACGCGAGGATCAATTGCGAGAAGAAGGCCGAGCAGAGTTGCGTCAAGTAAACATTGACTTAACATCAAAAGTTGACGAGTTGTCTCGACAAATGGTAGTTGTACAAAACGAAGCTGATTTGTTGAAGAAAGAAATCGACACTATGAACAAGACAAGCGTAGAGAAGGAAGAACGCGCGAAACAAGTGTTGAAAGGCGCAAGAACCAAAATCATGCAATTGACGGAATCAAAGAAGATTTGCGAAAAAGAATTGCTTGATCTAAAAGCAAAAGTCGAAGCCGGTGATACTGAATCGGACGCGGCCGAACACGATGCCAGACTGGTAGCTCTTAAATCTCAAATGGAAGGTAGAATTTCCCGCCTGGAACATGAGAAATCAGAAATTCAAGCAGAGAAAGATAGTCTTTCGCAAAGAGTTAATCAGTTACAGCGACAATTAGCTGGCGTTAGCGGAGTTAGCGCTACCACGGAACCACCAACAGCAAATATTAAACCAATGTCCGCTCGTGCTGAAACCCCGTTAGCAAGTATTCGTCCCATGAGCGTAGTAGTGCAATCTAGAACAGCTGCAGTTCTACCTACGACTGCCAGTGCACCGGTAATGGTTGCACCCCATCAACAACAACAATCACAGCAACAAGTAGTACACACCACCGAAACAAGTTCTCCAACTAGTAGTCTTCCAGATTTTCAACCAGCTAGTACTAGCAGCTCGTCGCAGACAGCGCCTAGTACTTTACGCCAACTTGTTGTGCAACCACAGTTGAGCGAATCAGCAGAGTCGACGCAAAGAGAAGATCCAGAAATTGCGGAAACGCTGAATGTACAGCAACAGCAATGCCAACAACAGCAGCAGCAACAACAACAACAACAAACTGTTGCCTTGGTCAGTCCAAGAGTCGAACAACAGCAGCAACAACAGGCTGTAGCGAGCGATCAACAGCAAACTGTAGCCAGTAGTTCAACCCAGTCGGTGAGCACGTCGCAAGCTTCGACGGGGCACAAACGTCCCAGGACTCTCGATTCCACGGCATCAGGATCAGGAATCGTAGAGAGCGCAGATCATAGCAGGCAAGAACAAGTCCTTAGCCCTAAAACTAAACGGACCAGACAAGAAATAGCATCCACTGCGAGTGCTAGTGCTTCGGAAGTAGAATATCAGGTACATTTAAATTACAAAGATACGAAATATATTAAGTGATAATTACATATTTGAAGTATGATGGACGAATCTAATTCGCAGGTACCAACGTCGAGTCAACGGGATCAAGATGAAGAGGTAGAAGAAGGGTGTGTAGTTGTAGTGGATTGTGACGAAGGTGAAGGAGGTGGCAACCATCAAACGCAGGAAGAAGAAGAATTCGATAATGATCCGTACGAAGAAATGGAAGAAGAAGAGGAAATGCCTTATGAGGTCGAGGTAGAAGTAGAACGAGATAACAACGAAGTTGAGATTATAATGGGAGAAGATTCGACGAGTGTTGAAGTACCTAGACAAGCACAAGCAACGGTACCCACGAATCAACAGCAGCAACAGTCTGAAGCGATTAGTAGCGCTGGACCAACGGGAGAACCGCCCACATCGTTTGCGACTCGTTCGTCGCGGGGTATTGCACCCATGCCTAGGCAACAACAACAACAACACCTTCTTCTGGTTCGTTTCATGGATAAAAGCAAAAAGAAAATTAATTTCTATTAATAAAGTTAATATTAAATATCTTTAACTTTTAGCCACAGCAAGGATACGAGGATGGAGGTGACGATAGTATAGTACCAAGCACGCCGACTTTGTTTGTTCCACGTCGAGGGGATGGGTTCGGGGAAGCTGTGAGTTCACCTCAGGTCCCTCAAGGACGTTTCACCTTTGGAGATTCATCTGCACCGACGACAGCATCGTCAACCCCTTCTTTATCAACTCCTTCTGGATCAACAACTCGAACGATATTTGGATCATCCAGTTCTGGAGCTGCACAAGTGGTACAAGAAAGTATGGATGATACGAGAATGGATCTTGCTCAGTCAGAAGATGGTGGTACTGGTCGTAGCGTGCCTACTACGCCTTTGCAAGTTTCACCAGCAGCCGATTTACCACCTTCGGTAAGAATAGAATTAAATATTTTTAAACAACACAATAATATTATAATGCGTGATCTAATAGCGTGATTTATTTCTAGACAAGCAGCGGACCATCCGAAGAACAGGAAACACCAGTTTCAGTGACACCAGTGTCTGTAACAGGTACCACTGTTGACGATACTAGCGAAGAACCTGCAATACCTAGTATTTGTGTAGTCGGTGTCGATGATCAACAACATAGTCAAACTGAAATAATCACAGAATCTATCAGTACGACACCGACTGAAGGTAGCGATCATAAACTGTATATTAATTTGCGTGCGTTAATAGATTGAAGTGTAAATAATCACAGTCTGTGATACTTGGTATATAAATATAATTTCTTCATATTATCGATTAAACACGTCTCATATCAAATATATAATTAATTGCTCACTTACGCGCGAAGGAACTAGCTCAGAGAGTGAAAAGCGTACAGAAGAAGCCGGTCCTCTGATTTCCGGAGACGATGATGCGGTTGACACCGGTGAAGGAACCGAAGAACCAGGAAGTGACATAGTAGAGGATGAAGTAGAAGAAGAGAGTCGCGAAGCGGAAGCGTCTCCTTCCAGTAATACGCGTCAAAGGGCAATGGCAGCTGCGGCTGCTGCTGCTGCGGCTGCAACAGCAGCAAATGGTACTAGAAGTGCTACGGCACGACGATCGTCGCGATCGCCGTTTAGGGCAACGCGCGGTACACGGCCGACGCCTATTGTTTGGGAAAGTCAGTCTGGCAGGGGTAAGTAAACGATAAATTGTAGTAATGCTGTATTTGCAGCATTGTCGGTGTAGAGTAGGAACGTGTCTTTTTAATTAAAAAAAAATATACATTTGTATATTTTCTTCAAAGGTCAAGCTGTAGTGCGCGGAGGACATGGAGGGAGGGGATCAAACAATGAAACAGGAAGGGGGCGTGGAACTAGACGCCGAATGCGCTCTAAATTTCCATACGCGCGATTTTAAGACTAGAAGACGATTTTCTATAAGAGGTCACATGAGAAATGCGCAAGCATTATTGTCATTTTCTGCATGAACGATGTAACGAACATTGGTTGTTAATATATCAACATTTAAAATAAAAATATTTTTATTTAGCGTTAAACGGTAATTATGTTTTACAGATAGATTTTTCGATACGACATTTGTTATTCCTATATGTTTAGGTGAGACCATAACATCGTTCTTGTAATGACAACATACGTACACGTATCTTTCTACATTTAAAGCTTAGAGCATTTAAAGCTTAATAGCATTTCCTTTTACATCTATTTTTTAATCAAAAGTGACATTCCTTCTGTCATACCTATTCGTCTTCGAAGTTGCTAGATTCAGTCAAAAGTACATACTATTTAAGTTGCCCTATTTATTGACTTGTATAAGTAATTTTTATGTAATTTGAATTTCATTAATCATTGGATATCTTTATATAAAACATTCACACAAAGTATGTGTACCCCATATTTTAATATGGTTTCATACCGTGTACAGCGAACGTCACATTGACAGTTTTTGTCAGAATGAGCAATTATCATCATTTTCAAAATGCGATTTTATTTCTTAGTATTTTGCAGATTTAAATAAATATATCGACCTATATTGATTTCTGCATCAGTCGTACAATTACATATTATGAACATAATATACTTATTGACTTCCACTTGTCAGTGATAAATATTAATAAATATTATAAAATAAATACCTATGATTTACAAATATCTACTTAAGTACAATTTAATATCCATCACGAAATTTATTAATAGAATAAATACGAGGTACTAAAATACGTATCGGAAAACGCGTATGGAAATATATATTACACATACTTCAGTCTCTCATCTGATCTAAGATTACCAGCTACAATCAACTTAAAGTATTGTTACTAATTAATACTTTTTCAATATTCAAATAACTCATATTATTTCGAGATAATTTCGCTTCAAATTATCGGTAAACGTAGGTACATGAATACTGAAATTATAACGAACTCATGAATATCTAGTAATTTATACATTTTTCATCATGACAAAAATGAAATTTCTTAATATCATAGTTTTCATGTTATTGTAATATCATTAAAATAATACCATAACGACAAATAACTCTTTACTAAAGAGTTTGGCAGTTATTTCTAGCACAGTAATACAATTTGTTCCCCTTCGTTTTGTTTAACGCAACATTATCAGTAATTAAACGGAAAAGTGATAAATATGACTAGTTAAATGAGTTATTTACATTATAATTTTCATTATGCAGTAACATTCATAAATTTCTTTTCCTTTTGAATATAAATGTTTCGTTGGATGTTACTAATTCCTTTATGAATTATAATCCTCTCTGTGACATTAACGCTTTAATTGTTTCGTCGGACACGATAACGTCTATATTACTTCTTAGTAAAACAGGTGTTCACCAATGGTTTTCCGACATTTTGGCAATGAAAAATCAGCAATCACATCGTTGGGCTATGAGCCAATCTTGTTTGCACGTTACATTCATGTTCAACCGAGCCAGTACACTAAACTGTCGCACAGCAAAGACGAGCACAACGAGTTGATAATGTCGTTCGTTTCTATTTTACACTCGCTAAAACATCACGAAATATTTGAAACGTTCAGTGTTCGGATTTCCCACCATTAAATAAGCGTTACGTTAGGTCGTTGATATTCCAGCTGATATCGATCATTGATCGTGGTCACTTCGCACGCACACCTGCCGTGCTGCTCTATCCTTATCCACTGTCTCCTCGTGCCGTTTGTCTCGAGGCTCCAGATCTCGATCTCCATCTCCTCGTAATAAATTGAGGATTCTACCAGCGAACAGCTCATATCCGGGCTCATGCAACAACCCGAGTGCCCGTCGCAACGTTTCAGAACAATATAAACTGGCTGAATGGCACTTTCCCCAGAATTTTTATGCACGTTCTGCATCAAGTCCCTCAGGTTGTACGCCCGAGACTGTGGTTCCCTGCAGATGAACTTTTTCGACGTATCCACGGCGCGGGGTAAATGAATCCTCCTCGTTACTCGATGATGATGAACGTCGCCGTTCGCCGCTGTCGCTAGGACCATGTTGTCCAGAGTCAACGGAACGAGTATCATCAATCTTAACAGAGAGGTCCTCAATGATCTATTTCTCATACCTCGTCTCTGTTAGGTTGATTCCGACCGATCAAACACCGTTCCTCGGATCTACGGCCCGTCTTAAACGAGAATTAAATACACTCGAAGTCACGTGCATCAAGTTTTTCCAGCCCCGTCATGCGTTTTCCGATAAACACGCCTCGATCGCGTCTTATTTAGACAAATTATACGGACCATTGACACGAAGTCGTGTTGAGAGGCGACCGACTGAAACTTTCCTGCTGCCAGAAGAGTATTTATACGTGGAAGAGTTTACACACATGCTCCACGCGTGAACTGCACATATATCGATCGAGATTCATGCACATTGAGAATTCGATGTTCCTCGGTACCGTGGTATTATTTACTTATGCAATTGTACTAGAACCGTATGTAGTATCCAGATAGTTTGGGGATTGTCATAGTTTTCTCGTTGTACCTCAAAGATCGTATCCTTCGCTGTTCCCCAAAATACGGTGGAATCGCATCGATCTCCGCGGTTCTGGATACTTTCGAGATAATAACAGGTTCGTCTGTTCGATTTAACAAACTACAAGGAAATCTCTGTCACGCGAACGGTATTTAATTCCGAAGATTTGCACGTTGTACTCTCACAGTCCGCCATTCGATTCACCGTGATTTGTCGGCGCGATCGGCTACACTTCCGATAAGACAAGAAACGCGTTTATATCAAAGTCGAACTTCGACTTCTCCTCTATTGATAGGTCGAACAGCTGTTGTACGAACAGCTATCACGCTTGTACACAAAAGTTAAAATATAAATTTAACTTTTCCTTATCGGTCAGTATTGTTTGCAACCCGACGAGGTATCGATAATGTCTTGCGAATTAAATCATACCAATCGCAAAAACGGAGATTTCGTTTTATTGAGAAACCTTTATAAACGTTCACATCTGGACCCACCTATCGTTTCCTTTTGGATTCCTGGTTCGATCAAAATTGACTCATACTACACGGTGATTCATCGAAAGTCCAGTTTAATGAATTCACTAGAAATTTAAAGTAACCTTGGGTATCACATATTCTGTCTTCTCATCCTGCAATACTAAACAGATATTTGTGATTTTTAATATAATTATTTAGCAGATATAATATTGTGCAAAAGTCTTAGATTTTAGAATTTCTATGATCTCTTTGACATACCAAAAGTGCGTTGCATCTGTGTAGAAGATTTTTTAATTAGTTACATGCTAGACATACTCTTTTTTCCTTGGACCTTGAAGGGTTTGAAAATAAGCTCTTCAATTCATCGTGTGATACTGAAGTACCTACCGCAGACTACCAGGGCTACCTACGTTCATATCTCAACACCCCTACTTGATGCATTCAAACATTGTTAAATAAAACTATAAATATCAATTATAAAATGAAATATGTTTATCGTGCAAACATCATATATGTTATACAGTTCAAGTTATGCATATGTGGAATAGTACATTGACTGTAAAATAAACCTGCGTCCGCACTAACATCGATAACAGAATAATACATTCGATACCGAGAAAAAGCCTCGGAATAGAAAGTGTAAAATGTTATGAAATCATAGACGCAATAAAGTTCCTATCGAAAACTTGACCGTTAGAAATGCCTGACATCTTTTATATTCTACAAATGTACGCAAAACGGAAATAATTTATGTTCGATTACCGATTCACGTGAATCATTGGCTGACCAGTTCTTCAAGTGAGTAACAGTTTGTATGTCAGTTTGGCAATCCGCCACTCATTCAATCTTGTCTTATAGTCTTATTAGATAGTTGGTGTTACCAAATAATTCTCGAAACTTCAGTCATTACCAGTAACGTTAACGTCTAAGGCGAGGACAATTTCAAGGTCACTGATCGGTGTCGAATACCTACGCTCGAAATTCTGCACACGGTTCCATAGATTATTCGTTACTTCGCATACCGTTGAGTCAGTTCCACGAACAAAACTGTTAACGGATATTCGTGTAACCCGGGCCCCGATTTGAGCAACCGATGACCACTCTCACCTTTCGCGCAAGAAATTTGCCGAGCGGACGTGTTCCGGCCTCGTGACGCACGAAACACGAAACTATCGCGTATAACTAATAGCCTTTTTGCGAAAACCAAAGAAAATATAAAAGGAGAGCGTTATGAATGAACCTTGTCGCAACCAGACACTTGGCAGACGGCCGCACTGCGATGACTCATTACAACCTGTCGCATCATGTATTGCTGCAGACTGCAAGATATATGGGGCACTTTACGTCATACCGTCCAGTATTTAGTTTGCTTCGCGTTCTTTTCCGCTCTTCTCTTCTTTATCTATAAAAATTCAACGCGTTAATATTTGACAATGAATAATTGCGAGACAATACTATGCTCAAAACAATTAGAGCTAGGCTACAGGGGTACATGACTTAAACGTCGTCAAGTGGATCGTAGTTTTGAAAATTTGGACTTTTGTAAAGAAAAATGATGTTATACATGTAATAAAGACGTGTATGATCAAATACTCACGAGTACGTTCTTTTTCGAGGCCGTTGCAGAATACTGCTTCTAACGCGATCGTCAGCACCTTGCTGATATAAGCAACCATTGTAAAGTTTGTTGATATCTGAGGACTTAGTCATAGTATAGATAACAGAGTTCTGTACATTATGCAAATCAGGCTGCGGATATTCAATCAGATGATCCTTTAATTATTTTACGTGATTTCGTGTGCATATTACTTTTCGGTAGAAGAGGGGTCAGTGACACAATCGTCGGAGAATTGTCTGGAAACGAGGAAATACAAGCGCGATGCGCCGATGCACAAAAAAAAAGTAAAACCGAGGACGATTATTTGACTGATGACAGGTTGAAATTTGGCGCGGTCAAAGTACAAAAAAAAGAAAGAAAGAAGAGGAAGGCACACGACGAAAGGAGAAAATGAGAGAAAGAAAGGGGACAATCGATGAGGAAAGGATGGCTAGTCACGCAACGTAACACAATCCCAGCTTGAACGGGAGGCAGGACCCACTAGTTGTAATTATATGTAGTTATCTTCGCGATGTTCTCGGAACGCTTTGCTTCGACCCCACCCTCGAGCTTACCGAGAAACAAGAGGGAGACAGTGCGAACCGTCGTCGAGCGAGACGAAACGATACGGACAGCGGCTGATCGGAAGAAGAGGGACGAAGTGAAATCAGAGATGGAGGGGGCGCAGAGGGCACCGGGCCGAGGATGAAAGTTACATATATATATATAGAGAGAGGAAGAAAGAATTCAGATCGCAGAAAAGAGTCGCAGTCCTCAGCCCCGGACGGTCCCCGTCGATCTATCAGAGTGAACAGAACAGCCGACAGAAGTAGGTCCCCCGGTTCTGCGTTCCATTCGCGAGCGAAACACGCCGACCGATGAAAAACAGCCCAAAAATGAGAAGCTTCGTTTTGCTATTGTTTTCCATTCACTTTGCTCTTGCCGTGATTGGACGGCATCACAGGTGAGTTACATTGGCGTTAAATTTCTTTTGCAAAATGTTGATTCGCGTTTACTTTGACAGATACGTTGAAACGATTGTTTTTGTTACGCAGGGATAGCGGGTTTCTAAATCATGTGCAACTGGTGCACGAATTCCGGTGTTCCTCGCCACAACCGAGGGCCGTGCCGGTGGCAGAACTTTTAACCGTTGGTCCTAGCCCCGACGAGGTCTTCTATCCCGCTTCTACCGTTTTGACGCGCTGCGAGGGAGCTGGATGTTGCCCGGATTCCAAACAGATTTGTGCGCCCGTCGAAACTAGAAATGTAAGCCTTGTCTTTATGGTGAAGCACATGATCGATCGACAACGGGACAGACATCACGAAGTGCTACACGTTTTGGAGCATACGAAGTGCGGTTGCGTTGATAAGAAACTTATAAAATTCGACTGATCGCTCCTCGCCGAAAGTTTATCTTAACGCGATGGAAAACGGACCTGAAGAGGACCTTTTCCAAACGAGGATTTACATCCATTGTTATAAGAATATTGTAAAGTAGTTTCTTAGTATTTAGTTAAAGTTAAAGGGTACCAAAATGATGTTTATAATTGCATAACTGAATAACAGTATAGTTAATGGTAAGATTAATACAAATTATAAGCTTAAATGTAAGACAAGTTCCTCGATTTAATCACCTTCAGGATTTGTGACTGTGATATTTTAATAATGTAGTGTAAAATATTGTATGTTCTTTTGATATTCAATCTTCCTTAAATATATCTCTATTAAGTGGTGTTTTATTATATCGTTTATCTAACTGACAATAAGAATGAACGCAATTCCATCTCACACAAGTTTTTCGATTAATCGACAATTTTTTTTCATGCTGTTTACCTTTCAATCTTTTATGTTGAAGTGTTGTTTCGCAGCTAACACGTCGCGTTTTATGCTTTTATCGTCCGGCATCAATTTCAGAGCGGCTTCTAGTTCAGGAATCCCATGCTGAGGCGAAGATAATTTACAGAGTGCTGCGCCCAGTCGAGCGTGACACCTGGCCCTTGACTCTCGATTGCCTTCGCATTTCGGCACCATTAGTTCCAGCGCCTGCAAAGGAAAATGTACCTGAAAACATTTCATTCGAGTACGCGTAACACGTTACCTTAAACGATTAAAAAAACGGTTACATTATCTTTTCTCTTAATACACATTCTATCAATCTTCATTAAAGAATTTGATAAATTTGTTACATTACTCAAATAAATATAGGAAATTTATAAATTAAATTATCGTTCGAATTGTTTACTTTGGAGCAGTCCTCGGCACATCTACGATAGTTTTCCAACGCGTATTGTGCTGCTGATCGGTTCACATAAAGCGATGCCATCTTATCACTGATTTTTATTCCGTACGTGTAAGCGTTTATAGCTCCCAAGTAGTTTCCGTCTTTGAAAAATTCACTGAAACGAAAACATAAATGATTCGTCGGTTTGAAATTCGAGCATTCGAACGATATCTTCTCAAAACGTTAAACATACTCTCCTTTATCTTTCAACCACTGCGGATCGCGTTCTTCCGGTAGTAGATCTTCCATATCGAAACCAACTTTCCGTCTTGCTTCTGCCTGCTTCTTCAGCCACTGGAATTATATTAATATGAACAGTACTGCTCTGTGTTTATAACAATTCGAATCGTCGGTATAAGAACAGAAGAAAATATACCTCTTGTTCTTCCAGATGAGAGCTTTCTCTAGCCGGAGTAGGGAACTTCCGGTCTGAAAACGTGACGTTAATGGTACTGCTCTTTCTCGGTAGCGGAACTGACTTTGAAGGATCTTCGAATATACTGTCCATTCTCACACGTTTATTATTTATTGCAGCTTTTACGGATTCTAATCTAAGTTTTGTTTTCTCGTCCATTTCCCGAACAGAACCACGTAATTTAAATTCTCGCTCCGATTCGGAATCTTCGGAACTAGAATCATCCTTGCCATCGAAGAAACTTTCTTCTTTCTCCGACATTTTAGTTTCTTCGTTAATCTCTGGATTTTTATCGTTCTGGATTTGTTTATCGTCTACCGTATTTTCATTTTCATTTGTACCACTCGATAAATCTGTTACATCCGGTTCGAGACATTCAAACTTTTTCAATTCAATAGATCGAAGTTCTCTGTCGAGTGTACTATTATCGAATATTTCGACGTTCGTCATTGGTCGAGATTTTAACGTATTATCGTTGTCTTTGAACCATTTTAACGGTGGCCTTGTAAGAAAAAATACATTCAAAGGATAATTATTCGACTTAAAAAGTGCTAAAAACTTGTAATATTTCGTAGTTCGGTTACTTGTAAGCTTTTCTGTTTTCCTGCGTCTTTCCTTCGGCATCAGGAAGAAACGGTAATTCAGCTTTCGATCTCCAATCCTCAAATTCTTGCATGGCTTCCTTTCGATGAGCATTTCGTATTGCATCTATCTTATTCAGCGTTGCTGTATTAATACTGATTTGTTCGTTCACTGCTTCTTTTTGTAAACAGCGACATTTTTCTAAAAGAGATTATGATTTTCGATGAAATTAATATGAATCTACAGTCTTGTAACACAAAACTGTAACTACCCTTCTTAATTCTTGCGTGTTCTTCAGCGTTCGAGTGTAAACGTTCCAAAGCTCGATTTCGATATATCTGTCGAGTCTCTTTATCGATATTTTGTATATCGAGAGTTGGCCATATTTGGCCAACATCAACTTTTTGCAAAGAAAATATTACTTCTGTATCGGTAACCGTGCATTTACTTTCTTCTTCAACAATGCTAGCCCAGAGAAACAATTCCAATATAAACGGTGGAAAACTAACCTGTTATTATAAAGTACGTCACTTATATTTTTCATTTAAATAGTATAATTTGCCAGAAATAAAAATTAAGAAATATTGTTACCTTCACGTAATTATCGATAACGCATAAATCTACCTTCTTTGGATGGCCTCTTAGAGGTACGGTTAATAACACGAATTCCGACGTTTGTCGCCAAATATAATCTTTGATAATTATTGCTGGCATTTTTTATACGAATAACGAAACAAATTATCCTGCTCTAAATGATCGTCGTTCTTTACTTTACACAACTGTGATTATAAGGTAACAGAGAATATCGATTAAACAGTTTGAGATGTACGTTGGTAACATGCAACAGTAAAATGTTTTGTATAGCATTCTGTAATAGTTAGGGGTAAAATATACAATACATAAGGTTCTACCACAGACAAGATATACGAGTAGACCTTTCACCACAGACGAGGTATACCTCGTCTGTGCTTTCACCTTATAGACTTTCGCGGCCCAATCTGACTGCCATACCGACCTGAAAATTCGGAGATGATTTTAGCGACCTCCTCTCATGGATGGCGGTCAGTCGAGGAACTATTCACTGAATTAGTATTGATAGCCAGACAGCTGCAGTGTGTGCGTAAATACATGTCAGTTCACTAAGGAAGGGATTAAAATTATTGGTAACGTTGTAAGTGACACGAAAATGGTAATAGGGCTTTAGAGTCCCATAAAAATGGGCCGAAAAAATACATTGGGTGAAAGGTCTACTCGTATACCTCGTCTGTGGTTCTACTATTGTATTTATGATCTTATGGTTTAGATACATATACAATATACATTACAGTTTTTCTCACTATTTAAATAATTAGGTAAAAAATAAACTACGAATGTATTGTATAAATTACTTTTAATTAAAACGTTTAAGAGTATTTGTTGACAATACTTTTCATAGACATTATTAAAAAGCTGCCGTTCACGCAACTGCGACATTCCGTCTTAATCCATGGAACCATAATTTCCTTTCTTATGTGCAATAATTTAAAATGATTGAAAAACGTATGAAAAACATTCAGATACTATGTAGTTCCATAGAGATGTATAGGTTTTGGTTCTTGGGCTAGATTATTACTTTTGGACAAGTGTTGTTTCATTAAGTCACATACCTAAGCCATTCGTTGAAAATCAACTACAAAAACTTATTGTAAATCAGTCAGTTTTTATCAAACGTCTGCTCCTACAAAATTGCCATACTATTTAAAAACGAATTGCAGGACGTTCTGATCCTTGACAATTTTTTCATCCATTGACCATACGTATTTCGAAACATATTTAGATTTACCCTGAGACGCAAGAATTTGTTAATGACTTGTTTTTTTTTTTTTTTTTCGAATTTAGTTCCCACATTTCGTTGTACATAACAACGGAAATAACAAGTATTAATTGTTTTAAAGGTATTGTGATACGTAGTACTGTTAAAAAATGGAGGACCTTTGATAAACGCTTAAGTTAGGAAATGAGAAACTATTTTCTATAAAGATATTATGACACTATAGTTATGCCTCTTACACGCCTTACGTCATACTCATTTTTTGTAGATTACAATATTAGTGATCATTCATTATGTAATATGTACAATATGTATCAATGTCAAATACTTTGCTCGTTTAGTTGTTTTATGAAAAAGAAACATGTTCTTCGTGAAAAGAACGATATAAAGAGAAAACAGAGTACCTAACATTGTACAAAATCTTTAACATGTTTATAAATACGTATACGTACGATGAGGTACGTTTGTCGTCTACATTATACCCAAGTGGGTCCCGTAATTACTTGAATAAACATTTAGTACGCGTTCTCGTTTGGTTACTAATCTTGTATTCATATACATTATTTAATACACAATGTATTCATAGAATATTCACGCATGTATAGGGACATCGCTCGAAGCAAAAAAGCTTCTGTAGTATTTGTTCTACTCGTGTAAGAATAAAGATAAAACTATAAAATCGCATGGAATGTCTAAAGTATACAAAACGCTGAAGAAATTCATCACATAACTTAAAAATTATCGTCACAATAAAATCGACGTTGTGCGGATTTCTATTATTTGATACGCATAATACAAATTTCGTACGATTAAAAGAAAAATTTTAATATATAAAAAACGGTGGTACAATATGATTTAATTAATACTTCGTTCGATATAAATAGAAAAATGCGATAACTTGCTGGTGTTATGAAATATAGTCTGAGCAAATTTAGATGGAATAAATACAGATGAATAGAATTATTTTATAGTTCGATCAATCTACAATGGAATTTATAACACACACCGTATTGATAATTACAAATTCGTTGATAGTTCAATGATGTACATACTAAAGGACAGTCATTTTCTTCCAGTAATAGTTTGCGCTAGAATCCTATTTTACTAGCATTTGTATTATCCGTTATGACAAATTGTTATTACACGATTAAATCGATAGTAAAAATAAATACAGAAACAATGTATTCTAGTAACATGAAACTGATGCCATTACAAAGTATATACTTACAATTATAAAAAAAGAACTATATAATCAAAGTTTTATTACAATTTACCTAAATGGCTTGAATATTATACAATACATATCACTTGCATACGTCTGGCATAGTAGGCATGCTTTTAGAATTATACATGCCTTTTCCTCGAACTGTATTCATTGTCGCTTCATAAATATTAATAATTAATACAAATACTACAAAAACAATGAAGCAACATGAATACAACGATTATAAATAAATGCAAAAATGTAAAGATCAAAATTTTATAACTCAGTATAAATAATTAAAGTTTAAGATTTCGGATAATAAGAAATCCGAACGAGAACATTTACTTAACTTGTGACTGCTTATACGCACTAGTGAATTAAATACAGACGGAAGAATTGAAAAATACATTACGGATATCGCTGGAATATCGTATATGAGACTTCCATATGTCATCGACTCTTTGTGCAATATTATTGCATTTTATGAAGTACACAAATACATAATTCTATGCAAAAATTATTTTTTCCTTGCAGCCTTTTCTGCTTTTCGTCGCATTCGTTCGATTTCTTTTCTCTCTTTACGCTCCCGGTCTGCCTGTGCTCTAAGCTCTTTTAACTTTCGCTTCAAATGTGACTTTTCTTCGCCGTAAATGCCAAAAGCTTTGAGGTCTCGCGACTCGAGTCGCAAAAGATTTCCACCATTAATTCCAGTTTCCAAAAAGCGTGGCGCATAACGCTCCAAACCAATTCCTGATAACCACTGACACACCTAACACCATTTTTTGAATTACAAAACGTACACAACGTTTTTGAAAGATGTTCTTCAGTTTCGTAATTGTATAAAATTTTAAATGATAAGAATAAACTTACTTGTTCCTTGGACCAATCTGTGACTGGTGCATTCTGCCAAAAGTGAGACTTCTTGTCACCTAAACCAAAGTCGCCTGGATGAGGAGGCAACCAAACTTCGCTCGTATCTAGATTTGTAACGTTGTTTATACATAGGAGGGGTAAAATTATGATAAATAAAACGTGTAAACGATTAAAAATGGGGGTTAAAAATTATATACTATCACGATCGTATCTTGAACACTTGCATTACCTGTTTTCGATGGACTAGGATCAACAGCAGGTGGACTCACAGATCCACCAGAAGATAGACTGGAAGGTGAACTACCTGGATGGTGCCAGGGTGTAGCGCTGTTACCAATGATATTTGTCGAAGGAATAGTGACTTTTTTTACTGTAAAAATAGATAACGCATCACAAAGAATCTCATTAGTTTTAATATTGACCTATTAATATAAATTGTCAGTTACCTCTTTGATTGGCCTCGTTTACAGCTTGCCGTATTTCTTCCACTAAATGATGGGTAACCAAAGCTGGATCATTATTATGCGGATTATTTAAATCACTAAAGTCTCCAGAACTCTCCCTCGATGATGACATATCATTTCCACCAAGCCGTCTTTCTCTTTCCGCTAGAACTTGCTTCAATTGTTCTGCTAATGATGCCGGTGGTCCGGTTAAATCTAAGGATAATTAGTAACAATGTCATATTTGAAAGTTTTACATAGATTCTTTGTAGAAGAAGAAAGTACTTTTTTGGGATTGTGGCCAACTTTGTTCTGTCATAGCTCTGACTTGCGAACTAATAGTGCTGTGTTGACGGATTGCCGTCGGATGCGTAGGTTCCATATGTTTACTTTTCAATGAACTAATCGAAGAACTACTGGAATAGGAACTCAAATTTGATTGTTTCGATGTCAAATCATTCGGAGACCTGCTACTTGTATCTTGAGAAAGAAGCTTCGAAGATGAATCCTCATCGGTATTGTCACCTGATTCGTCCAAACCATAGTCCTAAAGAATAATTTAATTCAGAAGATATTCATCCTTTCTGAATTTATTCTAAACAAAGCATACTTACAGAACTGCTATTACTAAGGCCACCAGATCGTTTAGGAAGTTGTCGATTTGCGAGTCCTCCTCTGCTAGCAAGTTCAGCTTTACTTTTCCCAGCAGAATTGTCGAGAAGTCGATGAGCAGGTACTGCTCGGTCTAATTCTTCCTTGACCGGTAGTGGAAGCGGTAATTTTCTCTCCACTGTTGCAGTTTTATCACCATCGTCGGGGCTACTGAGATCCGATGTTTCTGTGTCTGAAAGCTGACAGCTAGTTGATGAAGGAGGAGGAGGTAATTGACGACGCGATAATTGTGGCGTGACTATTCTAGTCGTTGTACCATCGTAAGGCAATCTCACTGGTAATCCAAACTTTCTTTGTGTATCGGTTAATTCCGCTTCTAGCTTGATTACCTGAAATTATTCGTAATTCGTCTTTTATTATATATATATTATATATATTATTCATCAAGCTTTTTTAATCATTCGCAGCAACGTACCCTATCTTTTAAACTTTTAACAAGAGCATTATATTCAGTGTCTTTCTCTTGTAACGACTGTTGGTAGAATTCATCACGGGCCGCAATATCCGCGCGTAATTCGCGTGCAGCTCTCCTTGCTCGTGCATATTTTTGTTGTAAAGCAGCATTCTGTGCTGTTGCTTGAGAAAGCATTTCTCGTGCCATTGCCAAATCCTGTCTAGCGGTGCCTAAGGCTCTTTCAGATTCATGGAGTCGTAAACCAGATTCGCGCAATTTCGCTGCATATTCCTCACTACCCGCCCCACTGTTTTCCAAGTCTACAAGCTACAAGTAAAACATTTACAATGAACTTGACTGTCCATAGAACGGCACAATTTAATTTAATAAAGCATATACATAAACGCTTGGAAAATACTTGGACATACAGTGCGTGCAATGATAAAAGGACAATAAAATAATGAGAGTATACATTAATTAAGCTGTGCAAAAATTTCATAAATAGAAGCATGTGATACACAGAAAAATGTCACAAATGAAAATCGATTATTTTATACATTGGAAAATGATTTCTTTAAGTAGAAATAGTAATATAAAGTTGCATCGTGAAAAATCTCGTGTGATTACCTTAGCTTTGAGCTTTTCCACCTCTCCATCTGCTAATGCTAGTTTATACTGACTCTGCAAGCAGCGAACAACGAACACAGTGCATAAGCAAAACCAAAAATATATTCACGCCTATAAACCTATGAAAGTGTGCTCATGTGTACATAAAATAGCAATATAATTTAAGTAACATATGTATATATACATATATACAATACCTTAGATTTACATTTTACACAGTAACATTTCATAAGAACCAGTAAGAATGAATATGGTACTAGATGTTCGTGCAATAATAAAGTAATGAAAAATATACTCTAATATAAAACCACTATTTTTTAACATATTTTTTGTCATATTATACTATCTAAACAGAAAAGAAACAAAATAGGAAAGACTACTGGATGATGAGTAATGAGACCCCAGTACACGTTTCTCATTAACTATTCATACAAAAATAAAAAAAGAAATTACGAATACGAAAATCTTTTAACTGAAACATTTCATTACTATGCATGTAATAGACTAGTTATACTACACACATTTCTTATATTACACATTTTTCTTATTGACAGGAGTACGATACCTCTTGTAAAAGCAGTCTTAAACTGTCAACGTCACTTTGTGTAGTCACAGATGGTGGCATAGATTGACTGATGATAGGAGATCTACTCCGTCCAGAAGCAGACAAGTAATTTTCTATGGGACTCTGAGGCGGTTCCCCTTCAGAACATGATGACATAGCTGGAGAGCCTGGTATTGCACTCATACTTCCAACAGACACATCCTCACCACCTCGTTGACTATCAGGCGAAGCATCCGAAAAGTTAAGTTTTCTATACGAATAACAAACAACACGTTTATGGTAGAATATTTACTATAATTTTCAATATACTACAAGATTATAAAAGGAGTCATTTCCCTCAGTACTCCAAGAGGCCTCGAGCCTTCATTGAAGTGGCCGCAAATTATCGTCATAGACATTAGCGAGCAAGGATAAACCATCATCGGGAAATGGTTTTAAAAAAACGTAACATAGACTTATTCGGCCATACCTTGCAGAGTTAGCTTGTTCCCTTTCTTTATCTGCTTGAAGACTCTGTTGAATTAGCATGGCTACTTCCGAGTTTGCGTCGCGTTCTCTGCCAATCACAAAACGCACAAGACCTGAAGTATTACGAAGAACACTGGCTGCATAAGCTTGTGTAACGCCAACCAAAGATTTTCCATCCACTTCAACGATTTGATCGTTTACTTGTATTCTGCCTTCCCGTGCAGCCGCGCCTTTCTCTGTGATAGTTTTTACAAATATGCCCAATTTTTCAAGTCCTGCATCCGCACCAACTCCCATTCCAATTATACTTAAACCGAGACCTTCTGGTCCTTTCATAAGTTCCACTGGGAAAACCTAATAATGTTTTTTTTTTTATTAATCGCGTGTATATGTATATCGAAGTATACATCATGTTCGTTTGTACAGTGATAATGTTAAATAACTACCTCCATCTTTTCCACTCGTCTTTCAAGCTCATATTCTGCGCTTGCGGCAACAGGATCCACGTCTTCATTTCGACGATCATACTCGTTCACTGAATGCGTCGAATAAACTTTCATTGGTCCCGTGTCAAATGAAACTTTAGTCATTTTTTTAACAGGTAAATTTGTCGGATAATCCTCTTTCTCCTCGTCCGATTCTGGTATCCCAGCAACTTCCATCCAAAAATGACCGTCTTCAAAATAATGTACACCATTCTCCACGAGCACCTGAACGAATATTACCGTGCCAAACATATCTTTCGAGTAAATTTAATTAGAACAGATTTTATCGACTTGCGATCTTACAACTTTGCCAGGCGTTGGTGGAATATATTCATCTTGATGTTCAGTTTCAGTGTCGTCGTTAGTTTCGTGAGTATAGTTCAAACTACTAACAGATCCTAGCAGACCACTTTCACTGCCCGTTACAGAACCCACACGACTCTCCGTTAACGAATCAATTGTTAAATCGCTACGTGATCTATGGGACAAACTAAAAATCGCAAAAATTTAATTTATATTTTTAAATAAAAAATCGTATCACACTTCTGTGCTAAGTCAGGTCACGCATGTGCAATTAATGAAATTAATCGAACTAAATACATAGCACAAGCTGCAAAATATTTTTATACAACGTAAAAAACGTAAAAAACCAAACTGATTCACCTATAATCATTAGTGGTGCTATTAATAAGACTGGTATCAGGAGCAGACAGGACATCAGACAGCCAATCTGGTGTATTATCTTGATCTTCCCTCTCCCTCTCTTTGTCCATTTCTTTATTTTTATCAATAGCATTTTCTTCGTTTACAGGTTCAGTATTTGTAGTAGGAGATAATAGTCTTGCTATTTCCTGTGCTTCCTCATCCGATAACAAAGCTGATCCTTGTCTAATTGATTATTCATATAATTCATGTTGTTCTTTCGTAATTTAATATCATGATCAATGAAGTAGACATGTAACCGTACAATGACTCACCTTATTTTTTTCTCTAGGATACTGCATTTCGTCCCAGTAGATTACAAGTTTGTTTGAGGTCACATTCAAATAAACACGAATAGAAGAAAATATTAGAATTTAAACTAAGGAAATAAAAGTTATTAAGCTGTTTGCAATTGCCATAAAATAATTTGCTACATAACTGGAATTATCATAATTATAAAATATAGATGCGTATGAAAAAAATCTATTTAAAAATCGTAGTGCATTATATTATATGGCTTTTGTTTATATTAACACAAATTGTATCGATTATTGTATACAATTTATATTTTGCAACATATAAACGTTTTAATTAATAAACTTACCGGGAACTCAGTAGGTTTTCCGCTTCGTCGGCTGTCATAGTATCTGGCGTTATAGGAACTGTTTGATTAACATTAGTTTTAGGAGTTTCCACTGCAGTCTTAGAGACTGTGTGTTCACTAACATCTTGTACATCCATTGCTGGTGCATATTCCAAATTTGTAACAGTCTTAGTGTCACTGGAATCACTATCTTCATAAAGACTACTTTCAGATATAACATGTTCATTCACTTGCTTCGTTTCTATATGTTGTTGAGTTGTAGGTGACACGCTTTGAGGTACATTAATCTTTTGAACAGCATTTGTAGAAGTGCTTTCCTGTAACCGTAATTTCGCTAATTGATCAGCTTTTTGTTTCTCCTGCTCCCAAGTTGTTTGAGGTTGATCTAAATCTTCTATACCCCTATTTAAAATATTGTTTATTGTTTGAGAATTAGGTGACGGTATTGTATTTCCTGCTAGTGTTATATAATCCTTTTGGCTACCGGTTCTTGACATAAATTCAGATGTATTTGCCGAGAGTACTGCTTCATCTAATTCCGATTCATTATTAATAGGTTTCTCTAATAAATTCTCACTACTTTGAGTATTTAAAATCGCTGAACACTGACTTGCATTTAAGATGGCTTTGTCCGTTTGATCTACTCTATTGTCAATTTCAGCAAAACTTGAACGTTTCCCAGATACTTCTTCTTTATTTTTTGCTAGCTTTTCTCGCACAGAAATTTTTATTTGATCGTTTTTGGCGTTAGATACAGTTTTCTGACATACACTTTCAGTAAATGTATGCCTTTCATTGGTAATATTTGATTTTGACTTATTATTATCTAAGACTACATTTTGATTTACTTCCGTGATCACTGAATTCGTTTTTGTATGATCATGATTACTATCTTGAGATATTTTATTATGGCAACTTTTTGTTGAATCAGTTTTTATCAACACATTTTCTTCTATGTTAGCTTTCATTTGAGGTTTACCTTCGTTATTTTGTGCAGAAACTTCTTGATTTTGTTGCATTTTTCTTGCATACGGCGAAGGTATAGGTATATCTTTGTGTTCTAATGGTGGAAATTCTTGATCTGAACTGACAACAGATGATGGCCGGTGTCCCAGACCAGCAGCTTGAAGATCAACACGTACATGAGAACGTCGGATAACTGTAGTAGTGTCAGATTCACTAAATCTTGAATTTTTTTCTGAAATATCCTTCTCAGGAATAAATTCTGTGTATGTTGCAGGCTTATCTTGCTCTTCAGGTTCCAAGTCATAGCTGTTACGACCTTAAAGTAAAATATTAGGATATCAAATTATATAATAATTTAAAATATACACGCAATAAAATATAAATGAATCAAGTTTCAAAAAAGGACACTATAAAATACCTCGACAATCAATGCAAAGTAGTCGTAGACACATGATACTTGTATATTTTGTGTACAGAGTAATAACCAATTTAAACAATGAAAAGTGCACAATAAGAGATAAAATTCTATCTTTTCTCACAATGGCACTATAAACGTAAATGTTTTGAAATATTTTACAACACTAGCAATATATGTAACCTTTAATAAACATGTGCTTGATACAACACATATTTTGCACAAAAATTTGTTATGCCATATCATTACGAAATTTGAACAAAATGACTTTCCAATAAAAACATCAATTATTAAGCACTAATATTGTAAAATATATTTTTTTAAATCTAATGTTTAAAAAACACATTAAAAAATATTAGATTGCACTTAAACTTCATTTACTTCATATAAAATTATTTTTAGTAAACCAGATTGATTTATATTATCATTTGTGTCCATTTTCTATAGATTCAGTTTCCACGAAATAAATACTTTGGCGATAGTAATTCATTTTTAATAAATGTTCTTTTTTTTTTTCTAAACACTGACAAAAAGATAATTGAAATTTGTAAAATACTTTTCTCAAGAAATGCTGTAAAGTACAACCAGACAGAGGCAGAACAGAATACACAGAGATTTCTATAAATAATACTGTTGAAACCGGTAGGAGGAACTAAGATCAAGAAGAGGAGGAAAAGGGGAAGGAGAAGAGTTTCCTCCTGTGTTTTTACTTTTTAGTATTTTGGCATACTGCCACAGTAAAATAGCAAAATTTAAATATATTATTACGGAATTATTTTCCAATAATTAAAATAAAAAACAAACTTCAATTATTAAATAGCAAGCTTAAAATAAATTTGTGTCTTTTGTATATATATGTTTCTAATTTCGTAATAACTTAAATAATCAAATGTGTATAAGATGTATTATAGTTGTTACATACGTTTATATAGATGTCAATTTAAACAATGTTACTGAGAATGGTTTGCAAATACTATACCCGATTGAAATTTTTCAGACATTTCCTTATCTGCCTTCTCTTCTTTACTATCCTTAGAAGGGGAGCTAGGGGAGCTCATACTAGAAGAAGCACTATCCGTACCTCCTGAAGGTGGTCTTAATTCCGGATCCGGAGATCTTGGCGGGTCTATTTTCCTTTCATCCATCACACTGTCTTTTTTCCTTACAGTATTTACACTTGGTCTGGCCCAGTCTGGTCTTGGATCAGGTCTAACGATTTCGTTTTTGATTTCTACATCTAAAACCTCTTTAGAATTCTTTAAGTTTGCTGCTTTTTTCAGAATTTCATCATTTTTGGCCAACCACTCGTTTCTCCATTCAGAAGTTTTTGGCGGCGAACGTATAGCATTCGAAGGATAATTTAAATATTCAGGCGTGTCAAGCAGGTCATTATCTTTCTTCGCCTTATTTTCATAAGCAATACTAGGAATATTCTCGATCGACATACTCCGTGTCGGACTAGATATATCAGAATTTCTTTCGTGGGAGGAAATATGTGATTTTGTTTGTGAATAAATATCAATACTTGAGCTCGCAAGGGCATTTTTGGAAGCCAAACCACTTTCTGTGTTGTTGAAACCTTTTGTATGTTGAACAGATGTGGTTTTTGATATGTCCACATTTCGCGAATGCGCTTTACCTGCATTATTCTTTTGTACAACTGCATATTCTGGTACAGACACATCTTGTGCCCTTTCTGGAGCAGGAGTAACAGCATTTTTTGGAACTTCTCGTTGTTCTTGGTTTCTTTGGAAATGTTTATTTTGTACATTTGTATTTTTTTGTACAACTGCATACTCTGGTATACTTGGTGAAGTATCAAAATATTTATTTATAGTAGCATACTCTGGACTACTAGGAAGATCTAAAGGCGATACAGCCGCGATGCTAGCTGGTCTTTCTTTTTTTGCATTCGAAGTAGAAGAATTTCTTGTTGGCGGTGGAGGTGGAGGTGGAGATATAGCAGATGATCTAATAGAACAAAAACTTGCAGATCTTGTTGCTGGATTACTAGAAATATCTGTCGGCCTTTTTATTTCATTATCAATGCTTGCTGAATTTTGTGCATGTCCTACAGGAGTAGTTTCAATGTTTACTTTATTTGCACTTTGATTTAAAGAACTCTGAACCACAGATCTATTTGGATCTGAATTGTATCTGCTTGGTCTAGTTTTAGAGAAATGACTAGTCCAATTCTTTTGCTTTTCAATTAACTCTTTTGAATTCAACCTCCTTTCTGGTTTTTCTGGTTTCTCTGGGCGATCATCTAACCGATTTTCTTTGCCATAATTTTTATCAAATTTCCCAAAACCTGCTCGTGATTTATGTTTATCTGGCACATTATCTAAACCATGATTGTGACCATTTTCAAAATGTCTTTCAGCATTCAAGGCTGGTACACTTGCACTCCAATTACTTAAATGATCTCTGGTTCCTGGAGGTGATGGTGATCTAGGACGAGGTGATCTAGCTGGGGATGTACAACCTGATCCAGAATTTGCTGAGCTAGAACGTGATCTTAATCCATGTAAATTGCTGGGTTTCGCAATTCGATCCACCCTAAACAGAAATTTTTAAATAATTTCACAACACAATTTATGCTTTATTCGTATTTGTTTTTCATTTTGTGCATATGCACTCACGGTTTATTTGGTTTATTCTCTTCTCCAAGTTTCTCAAAAAGTGCTCGTGCATTATTGAAACGGGCCACATGGCTTTCAGTTCTAACAACTGTGACTTGTGTAGGAGACTCTTTTAAAGGCACAGCTGGTTCCTTGAAACCATCTGATAGAATATTATTTGTTCTATGGTTTAAATTGTCCAGTTGTGGTTTTGATTGAAAGATGTTTGCAATGGCTGAAACTTTTGAGCCACCAACTCGTTTCTTTTCTTCCACCGTTGCCATGACTTATTTTCCTTTACAGAAAAGTAATATAAACTATTATATTAATTATACCTAATACAATCAACATAAAAAATCAATTATTTCATATATTATAGCTGTTTATAAAATATATAGTTTAACTTATTTTACTACTTCTGTAATTCAACAATAATTTATAGAAAGAAAAAAAAAAGATATATACTGAATAATATTAGTACCTGAATTTTTGTATATAAAAGTTATGAGAGTTTTAAAATCTGGTATATTTCAGCCCATTGTCATTCATGTATTTTTTTTATTAATCATTTTTTAAATGATCTGAAAAGAAAACATGGTAATAAGGTATAATAATAATGTTATTGATTCTACATAAAATAATCCAACAGTATAATTTGTTACTAGTTACAAATATTAGAATTATTTTGTATGTAAAATTTATAAACTTAATGTTTATAGTCATTGAACATTTATGTAGGTTATTACTGTCAACACTCAAAATACATCTTTGAAATACTAACTATGTTCTTTGGTAACATTAGTGAGGCATTTTATAATAAGATTACATTAGGTATATCTATCTCTGATTGTCTGAAATGATTTAAGTTAGACTTAAATGGAAGGCATAGTATACAGAGGTGGGGTCTTGTCTGGGCTTCACCCTCCTCCCATTGCCATAGCACACCATGCTCCTGCAATCAATACTTGAATCCTTTCTCTGTAGTTGAAGTATGAAAAGTGGAAGCATGCACATGTTATAATCTTATATTATATGACCTGTACATAATGTATAAGCCTTTGTAATAGTAGGTTAAAGTTAAATATAGCTTAAAATAAATAATGAAGCTAATGTAGCAAACTTTCTCTCATTTACACCATTTTTTATAGCACTTTAAATGTATCATTCAAAAACTGTATCTTTATTTTGTTACATTTAAATGTAAACAATTTTAGCTGCAAATCATTTGATAAATGAATTATAATTACGCAAATTAAAAATAGTTTTATAGAAGCAGCATTTATACTTTTTAATATTAAATAAAAAATATATAAGTTAATGATCAGTATTATTTAAATTTTTATTTAGAATTCATATTATACTGAAAATATTTTTAACTGGGTATAAAAATAAGATAATACACTTTTATGATTGAAATAAAATTAATTTAAAATAAATAAATCGTTATATTGATTATGAGATAATGTATGTTTATTATAGAATACCCATGTGAACCTTTTATAAACATGCTGTATTTTAAATTCTAATAACAATTGATAGATTGTCCATCAATCCTTTACATGTGACACCATGTATCAACTTTATGACATGTTCATAAGACAATAATTTCATTAATTAGATAAACAACGATATTTTCTATGTTTATAATCATATCAGTTTTATGAATTTTCAAGTTTACAATATTTCTCAATTATACTTAGGGAATTTAAATGCAAATAGATTGTAAATTTCCAAATACACTGATCAAAGGAATAATTTTTATTTTTTTATTGTAAACTTATAGTATATAATACTAGATTTCATGTTTCATATCATTGGATGAAAATGTCTAAGACTTTTTTCGTTAGATGGACTATGGAACTCTGTACTTCTAAGAATTTTTTTTATAATAGTTACGACACACGTTTGTTTTAGATTCGAAGATAAGAAACAGTAGATAAACGAAGTGGCTAACGTCATTCGAGGGATAAATGTACATCTAAGTTTTTAATAAATATCGTACATGTTCGAAAATAAAATCGTAACTTCAGATACTATAAGCGATTATAATAAATACATTATCAAAAATTGAAAATGTTTATAAAAGCCCAAGTAAACGTACGATGTATTTCGCCATTATAAGGTGCACGCCAGTGAATTTGGGCTTTGCAATAATTTTGCAATAATACTAATCATTAGAGAATCCTTTGTTCGACGTGCAATTTTACGATCGATTTTCAATTCACGATAGAAACAGCACACATATTCAAATGTAATTATTGTTAAACGAAATATGTCAAATTGTTTATAGAAAGCATAAACTAACCAGTGGTGTCACCATGTGCACGAAACCATTTTTCTTTATAAGTTGTATTTCCAATGTTTTTGTATCTTCTTCACTTCGATAAGTCGGTTTTTTTCATACGGAAAAACACATAAAAAAAAATAATTTCTTTAACAAATTCCGAATAAATACAATAAAACTATACATTCGTCTCTGTCAAGATCGCTTATATTCGTGACAGACGCTCGTTACCGCGAATTTTTTTACACTTTCATGTATAATAATCGACGCACGATAATCTTAAACGCGTGAACCGGTATCGTTTATAATTCTGATTTCTAAACAACCACTACTTATTTCCGACTTAATTACGATACGATTTTACATCGCGAAACACTTTCACAACCGGCTGTGATCTGCCCGTGTCAACAACCCGTGAAAAATGGTCCAAGATGGTCGTCATCCTTTTTAAAGATGGCGACCCTTGCATGGCACTAGGGACTTTAATTTGAAGAAATTATAAATGAAAAAATTCTTTCAATCTATTTCGTATACATTGCGTGTTTATTACTTTATATTTGATGATTGTATTGTTAAAGTAATTATACTACATAAATGATAGTTCAATTGCACAGTAGGGACAAATTGTGCGACATTTGACAAATTTGTTCCAAGTTTACTATATATAAAAAATTTGTTATCTGGATTCAAACTTCTATTATTTCATGCCTTTGAGAAATTAAACTTTTTTAACACATGTATCCATAGAAGTGCGCATGCATAGAATAAAAAATAAATAACGATAATGAATTTGGTTAGAGTTGGCCAAAGGCTTTTACTCGAAGCTTCACTCTGGGGTTTTCAGTTATGATCGTTTCTATCGATCGTTGGACACGTCACATAATGGACGCTGTGGTTTACGCTTCCGTGAGGAGATAATCGTTTACTGTGTTTTCATGAAAAAAAACAGGATTTCCTGTGCGAGCCTCCTGTGTATTTTGTGTGGAGAAATAGTAGAAATAGTTGTTGAACCCATATGATAATCATTGAGCATTCTTGCGTGAGGTGCGAAGTGTGTTAGTGAAGAACGAGTGTGCACGTAAGTGTGTACGAGCTGCCTAAAAGGGCTTCTAACATCAAGGACTTACGTTTGCAAACCATGAACTTTTTTGATAAAATGAATGACAGAAACGATGGTTTCGAGTATGTTTTGTGGTGCCAATGTTGCTATTAAAATTACTATTCACAACGGACTTTCCTAGGCATAGCCTTCGCGTTGTAAGAGACTGTATAGAGACGTCAAACGAGTTCGATGTGTTGTATTGTCTGACATACTGAAAAAACATCAAAGACTCCTCACCTTTCTACATTAACAGGCTAAAAAAAGCACACTTTAGCAAGATCGAACCGTCTGCTTGTAATAAACTTTACCATAAACTTTTATGTACAAAGTTTGAAAGAGATACTCGTGTTACATAGATCAACAAGAATTGTGTACTACACTCTGTTAAATTATAAAAAAAAAAAAAGGGGAACCTCCATGGTTTAAATCGTATTATTTATTTTTAACTTTTACATGGACATATATACACTCGTGAATTGCAAAAAGAGAAAAAAGAAGTTGTTTTCATTTGCTAAATATTGTTTCTACTGAAACAAAAACTTTAGCGCTGTTAGGTATAATTTGTATCTACCTGAAGCAAGAAGTACTCTAAGTCTTGTGGAAATTGTAGATGTATATTGGAATCTTCTATGAGACTTATAAATGTTTTGATTAAACTACATAAGGACAATTTTAACGTCAAAGTTTCTGGCAAATGGACTTATTAATCTTTTGCCACAGTGATATTAAATCGGATTTCATGTGCAATCTTCTGAACTTTTCTTCTTATATACTAAAAATGTTACTGCATTATTTTCTACCGTGTAATTGTCGTAAGATGTACGAGATCTGTTCATATATGATATTGTTCTCGGACAAGTATCACTGCATACTGGATATCTATCTAGTAAGTCCTTTTTTATATTTGCGTTTCAGAAAAGGTTTAAAGGCGCCAGAACTGCATTGGCTTTCCACAAGAAAGCTTGAAAAATCCAGAGATACAAAGCCTGGATGACGGGATAAATAACAAGAATACTTTTGAGCATTAGTGAAAGTGAACATCAAATAAAAAGTGAAATTATGGACAATAATACAGATGGGGACAACTTAAATTTAAGCTGTGGAGAGAATGACATAGTAGATGAATTAAAAATTGCTGCTGATGAAACATACGATACACGTAGTGAAGTTTCTTCCAGCAGTTCAAATTCTGATTCTAGTCAACCCAGTATAAGCTCTGTTTCAACAAAATCCTCACGTGGAGATAACAAGCGTAATCGGAAGAATAAGGGAAAACGTGCTAGGTCGAGAGATTCTAAGTCATCTAGTCCTGAAACAAAACGTGCAAGATCCAAGGAGAGCAAAGGAATTGCCAAGAGCTATGATTATGCTACAAAATTAAATTACTTATTTAGGGATGCAAGGTTGGCTGCTTTTTGAAATACAAGTATTTTGGTCCTTCATGTGTATATTTTTTATCTTTTACATGTAATTAGTACAAATTATGTTTTGCTAGTCGTGAACTAGTATTTTCAAAACACTATTTGTGAATGTTTATATAAGCATATTAGTGTAAATGCCAAGAACATGTCTTAAAGTTCTTTTTATCAGATTTTTCATCATCAAATCAAATAATGCTGAGAATGTCACGCTATCAAAGGCTAAGGGTGTATGGAGTACATTACCCCAAAATGAAGTCAACTTAAATCAAGCTTATAGGGAATCAAGAAATGTTCTGCTTGTTTTTTCTGTAAAAGAGTCTGGAAAATTTGCTGGATTTGCACGACTTTGCACAGAGTCTCGACGAGATGGAGCACCCATTTCCTGGGTTTGTATAAATATTTAACAGAAACAAAGTTTTTAACGTATTATTGCAAAAAGAATGTATGCAAATTTTAGGTTTTACCTCCTGGATTATCAGCTAAAGCTTTAGGTGGTGTGTTTAAAGTAGATTGGATATGTAGGAAGGAATTACCATTTACATCGACATTACACTTATACAATCCGTGGAATGACGGTAAGCAAGTCAAAATTGGACGAGATGGGCAGGAAATTGAGCCTAGAGTTGCAGAAGAATTATGCAGGCTGTTTCCAGAGGATGAAGGTAAATTATACATAGCTATTACACAGTTTTCACGTGAACAAAAAAAAGTACCATGTTCTATAATTTCCCACGAATATTCCAGGTATTGAAATGACTCCAATTTTGAGAAAATCTAAGGAAGCAGCAAAGCATGTCACAAAGTCATCATCTCGTTCGTATCGGGACAATAGACCTGTTAATAACAGTTCTAGGTTTTTACGATCGAGAGGTGGCAGAGGACGTAGGCTCTTCTTAACCTCACGATCACGTTTAGCTTCTTTAGCTAGGGGATCTCACTTAGCTGGTAACGATCATAGGGGATCAAGGGATCATCATCGATATGCTACATGGTTTAATCGCGGCGACTCTCCTTATTCAAAGTACAGTGCAGTATACGCTTAAAAATGTATTTTTATCGTAGCCGTAACGCGTTATTTTTAGTAATTATGGATTTTGTAGGGGATATGGCAGTCCTGGATTAGGTATAGCTGCGGCAGCTGAAGCATACGTTGCAGATTACATGCGTACTATGCAACACCGATTACCTCCATTACCTCCTTATGCTGCACCTCATCCCTATGACTCTCTACCTCCACCGCCGCCACCACCCAGGTATTACGATGGGTTACCATTGCCGCCTGATTATAGTGCAGCTGCTTCCGCGCTCGAAAAACGTAGCTATGAAAGGAGTGTAGACGAATTTTTATGGAGAACGGCAAGTCGCCATAGTCGGCATAGTGATCATCGATCTTCTCGGGATCATCACAGATACAGGGATCGTAGATAAGAAATTTTGTAATATTGTCTTCACCCATTTATTCCTTTCATTTCTCTAATCATGCACATATTGTAAGGGTTTTCAAGGTATCGCGACACTTATGATCATGCAACAAGATCTATTTAATCACTTAATGATTTTGTTAGTGATGAAAACAAAAATAATTGGAACTGTTTAATCAAAGGATCTATTTAATTACTTAATGATTTTGTTAGTGATGAAAACAAAAATAATTTGAACTGTTTAATCGGAGGATCTATTTAATCACTTATTGATTTTATTAGTGATGAAAACAAAAATAGTTTTGAACTTTAAAACGTATACATATACATCTGAAGAATGTGTAATTTTTAACGTAAATGAAATACTAGTTTTAGTAAAAATTGATATATTGAGAAGCATCTAAGTGCTTCGTACGCGTAATAATCATGAATGAATTTAGGTCAATCAACTTTTTTTATGTAAGAATATAAAACAGTGAATAATGAATATATGGGAGATAAATGAAATTATAGAATTGAACAATGATTCACAATTGATCGAATTCTGTGTTATTTGCATTTAATAACAAAGAAAAATAAATTATACTATCAGTTTAGTATGGTTTATTTACTTGTTAAGTTTTTCTATTGCAATATAAGTATTATTTATATATTTTTGTAATTCTTACATATATTAATATCTGACACATATGTTTACATATATAGCATTCAATTGTGAATCAGTGTAATTATTAATGAAATCATGTTTTTGTATTTATATTCGAATTTCTATAATCAAATTTGATAAGACAAATGTAATGTCTCAACATAAATCATTGTGGTAGATCAAGAAATTAATTTTGCAGCACTTCATCATAACGTATTGTACAATAAATTGCTTAACATTAATAATTCTTCCAGTTACTACTATTAAAATTTTATAACAAAAGTTTGTAAGAATTGTCCATTTCAAAAGAGAATATTTTTGTCACGATCGTCAATATACATCACCTATAAATTATATATAATTAAATCACTATTGCTTAGTTACAGAAGCAGCCTAACATCATATATATGTATCGAAATTATTGATTTATATAGTATGTTTTTGGCGCTATTTCATAGTAAAGTGCAAAATAAATATGTTTTTGTGTTTTTTCTCACCACCTATCTAATTAACATAATATTAGGTCACTTGTTTGTTTCTTCGTTTTTATGGGAAAGTGAAAAATAATGAAACTGGTAGATAAATATTATCTTTCACTCCACCCCCGCAGACAATTCACGGACGGATGTTTTAATCTTACCGCTCGACTGTCTGAATATATACTTCAGTTTTAATTATGACATTCAGAATGCAATTTATGAAATGCATCTTATGTGTCATTTTATCCGTTGTAGTTTGTTCTGTTTTGTTAATGATACGAAAAAGTTTTTATTTAACGTATCTGCCAAATTCGGTTTTTTTAATAGAAGTTAATCAGACAAAACAAAAATGTCCCGTAGCATCTCGAACAGAGAAATCGATCAATTTAGAATTAAAACTTTTAGAGCACGACGAAATGAATGGTCAATCGATTAGCTTGCAGGTAAGCAGCTAAAAACGCCCGATTTGTTCAAACCTGTACGTAATATCGATGATATTTTTTAACAGGAAAGTGCAACATTACTTCAACAAATTTCAAACACATGCGTAAAATATAATTTGAAAACTCCTTTGATAAGAAGACATTTTTTATATAATTCCAAACACAAATCATTGTACTGCTGGATTCGTAAAGTAGCTTCAACGAGTTTTACTAAATTATTTTCAGACATGAGAAATCGTCGAACTGTACAAAATTATTATAGGTAATCATATAACACTTTGTTACTTACAGATGATTCGTATTTTTATTTCTAAATTGTTTGCAGAGAAGTTGACGTTTTGGCGCCAAAATTTTTGGCGGAATTACGACGTAGTGCGAATGACGTGAACACATTTAAACTTTTAGTCGTGCGGCATCCTTTCCAAAGACTTGTATCGTCGTACAGGTGTTTTTCTTTATTTTAAATATACTATTATTAATCATACGTTTATTAATTAAAATATTTTTTATATTTTAGAGATCGCGTGGAGGATAATTCCAAGCATACTGCACAAGCCTGGATTTACACTAAAAAAATATTTCACCTTACAAGACCCGAACTTTTTCGTTCGAATACTACGACTGGTAATTTTCAACAAAAAGTATTTACCGCTGATAAAAGGTATAATAGATACTTTTAGATAGTATCTAGTAGATAAAGTTAGCATGTTTTAATATAGATATTTCTTTTCGAAGATTAAAGGTAATACCAACTTTTAAAGAGTTTTCGATGTGGCTTTTGGAAAATTCCGAGGAAGACGATGTTCATTGGGATCGATATTACACGCATTGTGCCGTGTGTGATATACGATATAACTATATTTTAAAATTGGACGATTATACGTACGGACAAATTAATTATATTTTTTCAAAGCTTGGATTGAATAAGAACACGGTATATTTACCGAAATTGGAGCAAACACGCGGGGGATACACTAATTTCAAAACAACGTGTAAATATCTTGCGAATTTGACGCAAGACATAATACTAAAATTGTACCAAAGGTATAAAATAGACTTTGAAATGTATAATTACAGCATTAAACCATATATATTTTGTGCAAGTAAAAGCATTTAAATGCTGTATATTATTCTAAGAGGAGGAAATGATAGTTTGCGATACAAAAAAAAGTATTTATTTCTTTTTATATAAAAATGTATAGGTACACTCTATGAAATGACATACTACAAACGTAATACTATGTACTTTCATAAATACTTGTAAAATTAAAATCCTTTCAAAAACAATTCCGATAATGAGATTAGACCACTATTATACATACACATTCATTCGTATAGCATGTCATCGTATGTACCTTCAATTCATCTATTAACAATCACATCTCTCTTTTATTACCGAATCATAATATTAATAAAATATGTATGAAAGTTTATGATTAGAAAAAAGTTCACAACTCAACTATTCTGGAATTGGTTTGTATATATACATTTTATATAAACATACACTTTTAAATAAAAATAATATACTGATTTTTCTTTCCTTCCTGTTTTATTTTAACGTTTGAGTAAGGTATTTCAGTTTATTTATTTCAGTCACTGCAGAACTGCAGTCGATTGCATATTATCGTCATACACAATTAAGCAGTCATCATCATCTGAAATTTTACGTTTAGATTTTGATTTTTTATCATCCAGGGTATCATCATTATTTACATCATTTTCAATGATAGAGATATCATTATCATCTGTATCACTAACTTCCATTTTTCTTTTTTTGGGGGATACGATACCACCAGAAATTTCGATTTTACGTTTTTTCGGCACGTCTGATAAAACGACGTCAGTATCAACAATGACTACATTGTCATCGGTTTGATACTCCACCTAAGTCAAATTGTTGGTGTAAAGCATTAAAAAACGTTTGCTATAACGACAAGATTCTCATATAATATATCTAAAATGTATTTTACTCACCTGACCATTCGAAGTAGATGGTTTTATCAAATCGTTATCTTCTTTAGGTTTAAGATCTTTCTCATCAGCTAAGATAAGGAAGTCGGGACTTTCACTTTTTAAATTTGGTCGCTCTCTATAGACCACGGTTACAGTTAGCGAATAATTTTGTTGAAAATCGTCGACCTTAAGAATGGTACCATCTTTGATCCCTAATTCTTCTAAAAGCTTATCATTATTTTGTTCTGTTTCTCCTTCTTCGCTGCTAATCACAACTGTTCCTGTCCCGTCTATCATAACATCTGGTGCAATCATATTTAACCTGTTTTTCAATACTACGTCATCTAATTCTTTGATTGTCATTTTAGATGTATCAACGGCTAGTACGGCTTCAGGCATGGGCGCGCAAACATAACACTTCGGATTCGGTGGATTGACGTTTTTCTCTGGTACCAGTAACTGATTGCGATGATTCATCTTTGAACGTAAGTACACGGATTTACATGCTTTTAGATTATTCACAAGAATACGAAATGCATGGAGAACAACTATACCAGCAACTATTGCGTTCGTAGTCGCAATTGCTGGAATTATATTGCCTGCCATTGCTATAAGAAACAGTATGTTAAAATTTAATGTTAATAATATTTTAAATTTTAGAACGTTATAAATAGCAACTTATCGCTTACATTTTATATCGAATCTTGTTTTTTGAGGGATACCGAAAATGTAAGCTCTTATATTAGCACACGCTGCAACAAAGTCCATTGAACTTTGATCGTCCTTATCCCAAACAAGATGATTATTTGGTGACTTTTCTTGAGAATCTTTCAAAGTTTTGCTTAAATTTTTTATCGATTCGGCGAAGACTGAGCCGCATTTAGAAATACTCCAACGTTGTTGATCTTTTAAGCCAGGCTCATTTACTTCTTTACTACATCCTGGCACTACATCATAAGATGTTAGAATCAAAATCAATCCATTTTTAACTAAGTTTAAATGTAATATTCAACTACTTTACAAACCTCCATCTGGTAGTCCTTTCCAACTCAAAGGAGTAGGTGGCCTTCTTTTCTTCCATAAATTATCCATACTAAGCAAATATTTTATATCATCGTGAAATAATTTTGTAAATAACTTTTCTGGATCATAGCTACATGCTTGTGCCCATGCTTTAGTCGAAACTCTATTAACATTTCCCTTTTCATTTGATTCTGAATTCAGAGCACCTTCCCCTGCTGCATCTATAAATCATAATTTATGCAATAACAATTTAACGTCTTTTATGCATGTTACTATTACCTGCTGCTTCTGGATCAGCAGTATCTGGAGAAACATCTTGATCAGGATCTTCTTCGCCAAATAATTGACTATATAAAATTTACAAGTTTTCCTTTATATTGTTTAATGAGTTTTTGTTAGAAGAATATCAATTCGGAAACCTACTTGAATAAATGTTTTGCCCATACTATACAGTGAATAGGCTCGCTGGGTGTATTACGAATTGTACAACCAGGATATGTTTTTTGTGCAGCTTTTGGAGTGCATTCATAACATTGACTCATTCCTTTCTTTATAAGTTCTACTTGCCCTTCATAACCAGCAGTGCCAGATTCTATTAAGGGTACATCTGCTGCTAAACACATTCGATTCACATGATTTCTAGCTGCTCGATTATCAAGTGCATTCATAACTAATGTGAATTTATTAAAAAATGATACACCATAATCAGGACTGTAGATATAAAGATTTGTAATCAGTCGAAGAAAATAATATTACTTTAAAGAGATTAATATACTTACGATGTAATACTGTCATGATAATGGACTATTTTTGCATCAGGATTAAATGTCAATGCTGTTTCTCTTGCAACATCAGATTTCGATTTTCCCACGTGTTTCTTTTGAAATAAAAATTGTCTATTTAAATTGCTAACGTCTATCGTATCCAAATCAATCTGAAAACAACATATGTTTATTTACAATTTGTACGATTAAAACACAATTAATAGAATCAAAATAATTCTCGTTTGCGTCTTTGTGTTGTCAGTTATAAAATGATAAGAACACGTAGCAACAAATCACGATAATACGAATACAGGTCCTCAATTCCAAACACCGATGAATTTCAATAAAGGAGGGAAAAGTACATAGGTTAAAATAATATTAGAGCACATCGATTTATGATCATACTTACGATTTCGATATCGGTGAATCCTGTCATAACGAGATTCTTTAATATCTCGCATCCTATACCACCAGCACCCACAATAAGTACTTTACTTTGAAGTATTTCATTTTGTAAATTTTTACTGAACACACCATTAATACAGGCCGCCATTCTTCAGGTTAAACACGGTAATTGATAATCTCGAATAACGACGCTACAAATGCTACCGGCTACCGCTATGAACTGTTATGATCGTACCAGTGCAGTGCTACCAGATGGCAGATCGGTGTCCAAAAGAAGTTGCCCCACCACTTATGCACACTAATGCATAAGCACGTGTACGGATACGTGAGCTCCAGTGCTTCGCAGCTTTGGGAATTCTTTCTCTAATTCTCTCTCCAAAGTGTCGAAGTTCACGTATACGCGACTGTGCATAGTGTATGTAAGTGGTGGGGCAGTTTTCTCTGGGCACCGGTCTGTTGTCCGAGACACTGGATCGCACTGTAGCATGCATACTTTTGTACCTGATGATTGGAGGAAATTTTCTGGACTTACTACTAGAGAGCTACGAACAGTAAGTACCTACGTAGTTCTTGCAAATTCTTTAATTGCATTAATTTCTCTAAAAATGTAACATATATTTAAATATCTTCGTATTTAAATCAAGGTCTCAGGGATGAATAATAGAATTCCTTTTTCCCTCCGTTTTCCTTGATCCCAAATTTAATTTTGGTTGTTATGTTTTACTGTGTTGTTACTTCGAAAATCACTAGCTTCCAAACTATGACGCCTGTTTGGAAGAAGATAGAAATTGTATCGAAGTATTTTCTATTACGATAAACGTGCCAGAGAAATATATATTTACTATTTTGTTGTATGATAGCAGATTATACAATTAAACAAATTAATATCCATGAAGTTTCAATGTAGGGAATTTGCACGCATTTCTCATTCCGTATCTTGACGTGTTTATTAACCGTTTGAATTTGAAAGCTTGTGTAAAAAGTCTGATGAGTTCGTAATTGCGAAGATAACGAATATTATTATAAACAAACGATATGGATAACTGTAGTGATATAAGTCAGATATCAGGTTTGTAATTGCTAATTTGTTGATTCAAAAGTGCTATTAATTTAATGTGTTATGTGACGCGACGAATAAAATTTACATTTATAATGTAGTGTCATTTATTTTCAGATATACATAGTATTTCACGGATTTCGCGTGTAAATTGTAGTCGATTAATGGGCAAGATAGATTCATTGCAAAATTTATCCGAACAGCAGTGTAGTTTTACATGGAATTCTAGTAGGAATACTTTAAGCCATAACCAAGGGTCCAATCATTTACAAAAAATTGCAAAATGTTTAACACAGTGCGAGGAAAGTATAGGTGAACATGTAAAAAGCAAAATAATTCTAGAATGTATTAAAGAGGCATCCTTGAACATAAAGGGAACATTGTGTGAAAATGTTGTTAGTAAATTAAAAGGGTTACTTTTGATTCATGAGTTAAATAAGTATATGTACATGCCATCTATATTAAAAAATTTACAAGAGTCGATCATTTTGGGAATTACTGATTTACCAAAATATACTCTTAGTTGCGAAGAGGTTATAGATGTCAAATGTTACGTGGAAACACTGTTACGGGAAAGGATACACAGCTTTATATTAAGGTTTAACATATTTGGTATTTATTAAATTCATTAATGTATAAATGCACAATAACTCTATTGTGTTTCAGATATGAATATTTAGGAGGGAATGTAAAGGAAGCAATAAGGTCGACCGAATGTAATGTACATAAAACTTTATTTGAAATCCATGATGTAGAAATGTTGCAATGGAAAGATAAGATCGAAGAGATATGTGCACAGTATGAAACCGATATTATGAAATATAGAACACTGATCGATAAATGGAATAAACTCAAATATAAAGATGTTAATCAGATTTATTTAGAAAGAGCAGAATTCGTATTATTGCAAGCTCAAGTTGCAGAAGTGCAAGCAAAAATTACAAAGTTTAAGTGTATCATGAGAATGTATAAAGAAACACCGGTAACAATCGATGCTTATAGAATATTAAATGCAACCATAGACGAAAAATTGTTTATAACAACGAATGAATTCAAGGAAAAAGAAAATTTAAACAAACAGTATGAAAGCTTAAAAAATTCAGAATATGACGAAGTCTTAAAGACGTATTTACATTTTTGCAAAGCTATTAAAACAAAAAAACAGATATTAGAAAATCTATAAATTTATTATAAGTTTAAGAAATAAATAAATATATTTTAAAAATATTTATACATAAACTTATATTTTGTATCGAAATGAATATAAATATTTATTATGTTGACATAGTCGTTGATGAAATGTACAAATTAGTTTTTTTTTATAAGAAAAAGCTTATACTGTAAGATAGAAGAAGCAAGATGAATGATAATTAAATGCATGTAGATATCGTATACTTCCGCTACTATTGATTTTTTTAAAATAAACTTATTCAATATGTACTGAAAAGAGAATATTGAAAATTATAAAAAAGACTTATATGTTCTATTTATTCACTGTCCGATAATGTATTGTCGTTTTGTGAAATAATGGCAGGTACACAATTTTTGTCTGTAAGCATACCATGTTCAATTAAAAATGTTTCAACATCGGACGCGTAAAAGTCTGCCCCTAAATAATCTGTTACATGCACAAAATTTCCTATTACTTGACCAGCTTTATAAATTAACAAAGCTGGTACTCCTTCTTTTTTAAATTGTTTACTAAGTCCAGCCACTGAACCTGCAATATAAATTACAATAAATAATAATATATGTTATAAAAATTAATACAATATACAGACAACATAATACTTGAGAACCTAACCTAAAATATTACAAAATTTCACAAAGGGATAATCTTCGGCAATGGATATTAAACATCCATTCATAGCTTCACAGCCAGGGACATTATTTTCATAAATATGAACAACGATTGTTACAGATTTGTCTTCGTTGTCGATTGCCTCCAGAAAGTTATCTGCAGTTTCTAAATTGAAGACTCTACCAAAACGAAGTTTTTCTGCCCTTGAAAGCATCTCCTTCATCCTCTGTCTCTGATACTCCAAAAGAAATTCATCTGCTAGTAATTCAGCCAGATCAGGATCATTTTGTAAGCGTTCCTTTTCTTCGTCTAAAGAACTACGACACGTTAGACTTAGTTTTTTTATCAATTGAAGTCTTTCTTTTTCATGCGTGTCTTTCTTCTCTGCTTCCAATTGTTTATATCGTTGCCAATCCTCAAAACATGCATGACATACGTTGAAATAGATACGAAGCTACAAACTTATATAAAAAAAACATTTAAATACTCTTACTTTTATAACACCCTTTGGTCCTGTATTACTAGAAGTTCCACCCCACTCTGAGAACGATGGTTCTATGGATTCTGTAATTCCTTCCTCATATTTTTCATCGTCCGATTCTTTATCGGAATCTACGGAATCGTTTCCTTCATCCTCGGAACTGCTACAATAATAATGTAACTTTTCCCCCAAAATCTTATCTTCCAAAGTTGACATGTTCAGTTATGTTATTTATTACTAGTTTACACGATTCTTTTCACTGATTGTTTATTTTCAACATGAAGTAAACACTTTTATACACAAGCTTTCGTGAGTAATTCTAACGTTTCATCGACACAAACAGTGTTCCAAATATTTGCAGCATCGTGTATTAATTTTGTGTATAGCATTCGCACGAACATGAAATCACGTCAGAGCCAACAGTACTATTTATGTTACAGGAAGAAACCTGAAGGAACCTACTAATATGCGATATCTACTTCGCATGTCAATACGCGTAATTAACTTACGAAGACGCTAAGGGAAACCTATCGAGGCGTTACCTAATGCATCGACGCCGTTGCACACTTTTCTGTTTCCGTGCACGCAACAGAGATGGCGATATATGTATAACATATCAAATGCATCAAGTTTCATCTACGTTTGATCAAAATTAACAGTTTTCAATTAAAAAAGTGTCTGGATTTGGCATGGAATGGTCTCAACGTAAGAATTTAACAAAAGGTAAGGACTCAAATTTCTTTTAATAACATGGAAGTCATTATTGCTGTTATTGCCATAGTACGCGTCTTTATTATATCATGTATGTTATTATTAACACGTTAGCCACCAAATTCGTCAAACTTTTAAGGGTTAACATTTTGCTCTTAGACAATTGAAAACTGAAAAATTTTGAGGATTTATTTTTTGTTTCACAGTCTTGTTACCTATGCACGGTCAAGTAAAAATGTTAATATGCGAGCCATTCGAGATGTTTGCGATTTAAGCCGTAATATATCGATTCCTCCACAATGCATCAACAATGTTTTCGATGTGCTTTTGCCATGTATAACAAAACACTCTTTCAAACGAGTCACGTCGAGCCTCGGGTATTTTATTAACGAAGATTCAATTGCGCCCGGCAATGCTAATTAATAATATCCTTTAATAAATTTAGTTAATATTGAGTTTGATTAATTTCGATGGCGGTTCCGCCCGTCCGTATTGAAGTTAATTTTCTGAAACGATCGGCATAAAGTTTGATACGGGCCTCGTGGAAATTATCGCGGGGGCAACGAACGAAAACAACGAATGTACACGTAACGATGAAATTTGCGTGGAAAAGAAATTATTTTCGCGGGCAAGACGAGCGGTCGCGGAACGATTCTCGGGGAACAAAATTCTCGGCCGTGCGTTCTGACCCCCTGACGGTGGAAGAGGTTCCTCTCACAGATGTTTGAATCGAGATTACGACATTCTTACTTTTTCTCGTCCCCGGACAAAGATTACAATCTGGACCGGCGAGAGCAGCTGGACCACCGCCATTTTTTTCCCCTGTGTAACCTTACACCGCGGGTCATTTCCATTCTACGGCTACGCGGCGATCCCCGAAACTCGCGAAAGAAACACTTACGGAAGGGGGTATCGGGTATATGCGAAACTCCAGGCCCCTCCGACTGACCGATCACCTTGCAGGATCGCCGACAAGCAAACTTTCTGGATAAAGGAACTACTGGGTGTTTTTAAAATAGCGCTGAGAAATTTAAAAAAATCTCCCCGTATTTCCATGTTCGGGCTAGAAGCTTTAAGGGGGGTCTTATGTGAATGATAGAAAATTGAACCATTTTTCTTAATTTTTTTTTAAGGAAATCTTACTTCCGACGTTATGATTCATTTTCGCAGTTTACTTAGCTATCCTTTGGGAATACGAAATAATTCTTTTATTAATTTTTATTAACTTTTAATGTTGTTGTCACGTCCGCAGTAAACATGTGTTTAAACATTGGCGTAGGTGGTTGCAGCTCTCAAGGTTGACTAAATCTAAAAAAATCAAAAAGATTTTTCACGGTTAAAATAAAATAATTAATTTATGTTGTAAATTGACAGAATGGTGAAAGCTTAAAGTAGAAATTGCAAAATATCGTTGTTTCTTTCGTAACTTTTTAATAAAAAAAAATATGATAAACTCGTTATAACAATTTGATTACGGGCGATTGTCACGCTTTAGCGTGGACACCCTGTATATAGAATTCCTTCCAGAATGTTGGCACCCAGATGGTACAAACGCTAGAATTTCGACTTTAAAAAACAGCAGATGTCTCTTGACCCTTTCGAAACCTTTCGAAACCTTTCGAAACCTTTCGAAACAGTAATGTTTGTGCTGTACAAGGTAATCACCTGAAGCAATAACTCCGGTAATTAGCGCGAGGGCTATGCAAAAAATGTTCTACAATCCACAATTCTTGATATTTATCTCTCAAAATTTAACAGTACATTCTTAAATATACATACTTTCAAAAAATGAAATAAAAAAAAGAAAATTGATTTTTTTGAGGTCTCACACGAGACTTACCAATTTATGAAACAGATATTTATCCATTGTTTTAAAAAAATCTTTCGATTTGCAGACGAGACTTGGACCCGCCATTACGTTGCAGAGTCAAAACAACATGAACAAGCATTGAACAGAGTCAAAACAACATTCAAATGGAAACACCGTAATTCTCCGCCATCGAATAGTCATGGGTTCAGCTTGCTAGGATGCCAAAGAAGGACTACCGTTCGACTACCGGTAAGTACTTTTCTAATCTTTTAGCTTGTACAAATGTTCGTAGTCTTAAAAGTTTGGAACGATTTCGAAGCTGAGATCCGATAACGAACGATCCACCAGCGAGTTTTCGAACATCGTCAAAACTCGAATTACATTTGAACAATCGGTCGCGAGGGGCGTAATTCAATTCGGCCGTGTACCGCGGACGTATTAGAATTAATCGTGAATTAATTTCGGGTAACGGCGTTCCGTCCTTTAACGACAATAACTCGTGAATTATCCGAGTCGCTTTTATTGGCTGTCCAATTGTCGCCTAAATACACCTGGAGGGGTTATTTTGAAATCGTCCCAGCGACACCGTGACGCGTATTTCGCTCATTATGGACGGGTTTAGCTGTCTTTCATGGAGTCCCAATGATAATTCAATTACGCTCGGCTACACACGAGCTGAATAGCTCGCGCGCATGAATATCGCCGGTCTCGTGTACATACGCGCCGGGATGACCACACGTGCTATACTTACCCTAATGGATAACGAATGCGTGTCTCGTAAAAGTTTCGCCTCGAGGAGCGTTTAAGGCGACCAGATTTATATAACGGGTGTTCGAACACGCGAGGGCTGCGAGCGCGTCCGTGTCTTTCACGGATAGGATCGTGATAATTCCGGTTCTTCGAGCCACTAAGGAGACGTGGAATAGATGGTTTCTGGAGTTAGGTTTCTTTCTTCGTGGTTGGATTTCGAAATCTCGGCTTCGAAAAATCAGATAGCCCAAGGTATTAGTGAAATAACTTTCTTACCGATCTCTCCGAAGTCGTTTTTCTCATTTCACGGGGTCAAGTAACAACTTTTCGAATATTCTTAGCACTTCTACATATTCTTGACTAAAATACGCGTGGGTTGCATTTTGAAACATTAAAATCCTCCAATTCGTTCAGGAGTTATGATTTTTTAAACATACGCGTGTAATTTCAGGGACACATTTATGATCAGACATTAGATTTTCGGTAAGGAATTTTTTTCTCGAAAGTGGGTAGGATTTCGAGGGTATGTGTATTCACCAAAAATGATTGTAATTGATCCCTGCAACCGAAAATAATTTTTTCAGAATTATTTGAAATTTTTTTTCGCCGAAAAATTAAGGACCTACTCGAATTTTTTTCTCGAAAGTGCGTAGGATTTCGAGGGTATGTCTATTCACCAAAAATAATTGTAATCGACCCCCGGGACTAAAAATAATTATTTCAGAACGATTCGAAATTTTTTAATTTCACCGAAAAATTAAGGCACCTTCTATTATAGTTATTCGGATAACCGGGTGCCGGATAATCCGAACACTACTGTACCAGTTTTCTCGATTTCCCGATAAACCATTCCTGGGGTATGAAGCGATACAGAGGTCAGCATTCGTACGTTTCGTATTATTCTATTCGTATCGTAGCTACGGCGATCGCGAGGTCTCGGACAAAAATGCCGTTCGAGTTTCAGGTTGTAAAATAGAGGATTCTGGTTGGTATAAAGGCGAGGCGACAATGTCGGTTGTCGGGTGGCGGTACTTGATGGCAAATTAGAAAGTGGCGAGGCACAATCCCTGTGCAGCAGGGCGTTGGTAGGCGGTCCCAAACACACAAAGTTAAACGGTCTCCCGGCACGCTGTTAGCCGTTCTCTTTTATTCATACAAGCCTCTCGGAACGTAATTACTCTTGGCAAGTGGAGAGATATCGACGAACGAAGGGACAATCATTTTTTTCCCCCGGCGTTAATTAGCGCTCACCGCGGCGCCCCTGTATTTATACGCGCGTCGCACACTGTTGCAAATCCGTGCGGCGAGCGAGCCGCAACGAAACCACCACCGGCCCCATCTCGATTCCTTTGAGGCGGCCGTTTCGCGCGCAACCGAGATCCTTCTCTGAACAAGTTCAACGCGATCCTCGCGATTCCTTCGCAGCTTTAAGCGCGGCCTTGCGATACAATAGAAACATTTGTATGCCGGCAATTCCTTTGATGCGCTCCAACGTCCCAGTCACGGATGGAGATTCACCGACCGGGAACAACCGCTCCCCGTGTTTGCCGTTTTCATCGCGTCTTGATACTTCTCGGACGGGCGAGAAACTTTTTATCGTTTCAAACGCAACCCAGTACGGAGGTCGACTTCTACCCGCGGATTTTATCGCATTAACGCCTAAGTCGGATCTAATAGACGCAGGATCCGGTGAAACTTTTTATCGTCGTTCTCGCGTTTAAGGAGCTCACAGATCAGCTACACCCTATGCGTGTTATTCTCTCTCAGTCTCGCTCAGGGTGAATTCTTTTATTTAGACTTCGATATTTGTATCGGATTTCGAGGTTTATTTACTCCATTGGTACTTTGTTCAATGTATCTTGGCGTATCCGCGTCGTTATCAATATCTAACTTACAGCCACGCTTGCAGCCGCCCCCTCTCCGCTGGCCGGTTACTGTCTCTGGACAGTTTGATCGATTCCCGAATCACCGCAATCAGAATTATCGATCACCCTTCAGGAACGGTATCCCGCCGTAGCGAAAAACGGTTTCGTCGATCTTTTCGCGCTTTATCCGGGGCGCGAGCGACAATATTGTAACGCTCGGCTTGGTTTCGACGGTCCCGCGGTCGGGATCGCGCGCGGATTTATCGGATCGCGAGGTTAAAAACATCGTTTGACGAATGAAGACAATTAATAATCTCGCCGGGCGCCGA